ACCGTTGGCAGGAGTCAAAGGTTTTTGCCTCCAATTTGGCAGCCTCAGCCAGCTGGGAGGCAGAAGCCATTGAAGGAAATCTATAAATAATTTTCCCTCTAAATTTAGGCGCAGCTACTAATTTCCTCTCCCTATTGCTTCTGCTTTCCTCTCCCTATTGGCATCAGTTTCCAAAACATTTTGCCTCAAAAAAAAAACTGTGGCAATGGCTGCCAATAGAAAGGCTGTAGCCACTGGAAGCAGAAGCCAAAGCATTTTGCCTTTGAACATTTATTGCGAGGCAGCAATTAAAAAATTGCGATCAGGCGCAAACATTATACAGAAGTTAATTGTAGAGAGTATTGCTCTTGTAGACATTATCTCGAATGCGTATAATTATAGTTTACATTTGTAAACAACTTAATTAATACTTAAATAATGTATATATATATATGTATGCGGTAGTGGTGTAGTGGTAGAGCGCTCGCTTCATAAACGAGTGGTTCCGAGTTCAATCCCCACCACGTCCCTGGTAGTACCGCGCTCAACTCGTTTCTCCGCGCAGCGGCCTTGCTTGTCAAAGTTCGTGTTTCGGAGTTATAGAGTTGAGAGAGGGTTATAACCACAAATAAGTAGCTTCCTCGTCTGTAGTGGCCTTCTCGGCCTTGAGGAGGTGAATTAAAATTAAAATATATATATATATATATATATATATATATATATATATATATATATATATATATATATATATATATATGTATATATATATATATTTAAAATATAAAGCATAAACAACAGCTGCGTATAAACTAATTTTTTTTGTGTGTAATATTTCGACCTTTTTTTGCACAGATTGTCATCAAACAAAATATAATACAAAAAACCGTTACAAATATTGTTTAAAAACGTCAAAGAAGACATTAAAAAGAAGCCATAATTAATAAATAACCACGTAAATATAAAATTAGCAAATATTATTTAATTCGTTTTTTTTTTTATAACTTTTTTGAAAAAAGGTCTCCAACTGTTTTTAGAAATTTTGAAGTATAAGAACGTGTTTTATTTCCTATTGTGTTAAGGCGTAATTAATTTCAAGTGATTCTCTAACTTTATGTTCATCGTACTCTGATTTTATTGCTAGAGTTTTCGGATTTGACCAATCAAATATACTATTACATTTTCTACCTTTTAATAGTTTTTTTTTTATGTTCAATGCATCTCGTTAAAATTTTCTTTTTTGTTTCACCAATGTATATACTCCCACAAAAGCGTGTGAGTTTGTAGACACCAGGATTGCTATTGGGAATTAACTTTGACTTTTTGTTGCATAAGATGTTTTTTAACGTAGGTGGTGTAGTAAAAATTATTCTGACATAAGGTTTATGTTCTTTACTAAGTTTTGGACCTATTCTTTGGAGCCATGGAAGCTTAACTGTATATTTACCTGCTTCTGTTTTACTATCATTCATATTAGAAAGGTTGTTTCTTTTCTAAATATAGTTCTTATCAGTTGTTTTAAGCTTAAATCTATCGTGTCCATTTTCTGCAAACATGTTTACTAAAAACTATATTTCATCATTAAGATACTTTGTGGAATAAATTTTAATGGCGCGATACAAAACCTTTAAAAAAACCCATCACTATTTTTGAATTAAGGTTTGATGAAGGTTTTATTTGTATATTAGTGATAGCTGACTTTCGATGGATTTTGAAGTTATAGTATGAATTATTAGTGTTGGTTACAGTCATCTTCATACCTTCTGTAAGTCTTTGGCGAAAAATGACCAACCTCAGCAATAATAAGAGCTTTTGCTTCTAAAAGTTGCAAACTGTTGATATACTTGATTTCGAAGTATCCTGGTACGAATTTAGAGAATTTTAAAACTAAAACATGAAAAAATTGAAAAGATTTCAAAAAAGTCTACTGCAACAAACCCTATCCAGCACAATACAGTGATGTGTGATAAACTTGTTAAATATGCATTAATAAAGAAAAACCAATCAATAATTTTCGAGAAATTGAAGGAAATTTCAATGAATATAGATTCTGAAATTGGGTAATCCAAGTTGTCTAGGCTGGGTAGGCTAAGTGTTTTATCAAAATGAACCACAAGCAGCTCATTTTGGTCAAAACCAATCTTCAATCATGACCCTTGCAGTCTAGGACATTGACTTAAAAATATTCTTTGTAGTTTCTGATTTGACTGATCATACAAAGTCTTAAATTATATCTTACATAGACAAAGTTCTTCACTTTATTTCTAATTGAGTCAAAGGAGTACACATGTTCAGCAATAATGCGCACTTCTCAATTTAAAAACAAAAGCATTATACCTGAAGTGGTTGTGTCTGAAAGATATTTCAATAAAAAAATTCTCTTGTGTTTCTTTCAAGTGATTTTGGTTGAAATGCATTGTTAAATGACTTATTAAAAAGTATAGTATCTCTTCTAGATGTATAGAAGTCATAAGAAACAAAAATATTAATTCAATTTAGTACTAATGAATAGCAAATTAAGAACTAATACAGTTAAAACCTAAAAAATACTTTACATATCCTAGTTTCTTTTTACTATATGTAATATACAATAATATCATATACAATCTATAAAATATATAATATTAAAATATATAATATATAATAATATAATTTTATTTCTATAAAAGTTGTTCTGAATTGCTTTTATTATAATCGTTTAAGACATTTTAGTTGGTTATTTTTAGGTTGGGAAGGTTTTTGCATCTACCTGTATATGCAGAAATGAGGAGGGCAGCAATTGCTTGCGCCCACCTCCACCTGATGCAAGTCATTTTACAGAGGAAAAATTAAGCCTTTGCAAAAAACAATTTTTTTTTAAACAGTTAAATTTTGTTTTTTAGGTTGAGCTGTGTTTTACATACAAAAGAAAAATTGTAAAAAAATATCTAATGCATCAAAAATAAATTCTAATAAATTATGCAAAATAATCTCTAATTAATTATGCAATTACGCAATAATAAAAAAAAAGCAATCAAATGTTTATACATTTACATGTTTTTGTAAGCATCTTTAAGGAGAAAAAGTTTGTTATTTAAGATTTTTTAAAATGTTTTTAACATAATTATTTTAAATAAACTCAATAAGTTCAATAGACCAGTATAGGAATTTCACTTAAGTTTTTATTTTTTCAAATGAAAAAATAAAATTTATACTTTTTAATATACAATATTTTTATAGTTGCGATTTTAAATTATGCATGTAAAATATGACTTATTCAAAGCAAAATTAAAATTTTAAAACTAAAGTAAAATCTTTTCTATAAGCATTTATAAAAATTTGTTCGTTTAAATTTGAATTACTTAACACAAAAACAATTTTAAAAGTATTGAACTTATTCATTTAAAGGGATCCCCAACTGCAGAAACAAGTTATATTCATATAAAAGAAAATGTTTAAAAAATACATTTGAACTAAATTTTTTTGATTAAAACTATATAATGAATGCACACCATTAAATTTAAAATTCACATTTTAGTTGAAGCTTGCCGTCTCCATTTTTTTTGGTTCTTGGAGTCTGTATATTGTTAGCCGCAATCTGCAGACTTGATAATTTATTCCATGCGTGTTAAATTCATAACAGTTTCGGTATATGACATCATCAAATAAATTTTTTCTTTTAAGATGTCCTATTATTTTTTTGCTTCAATCACCAAATCATGTTAATTGCATAACTTTTTACTAAATCCCTTAAAAAAAGTTTATGATGCAATTAAAAATTAAATTTATAAAATTTATAAAAATAAATTTAATATATAAATTTAATATATAACAAATATTTACAGTAAAACATACTGTTTTAAACTAAATATAAACTAGATACTAAAGAAATAATTTTACTAAAGCATATAAATTAATTTTAAGTATAAACTGAATAAAAAACGAGTGTCTTGAATAAAACATATAAACTGAACTAAGTAGAAAATAAATATTAAACAACTTATTTTACTAATAACCATTCAAATCAAACTAAATTAAAACAAATATTTGTACTAAAATATACAAAAAATAGTTATAATATAAATATAAAACAAAAAATCACATTAAATTGTTTGCTACCAGCCGAACAAAAATCTTTTTGTAGCAACTGCATATTTTTTTGAATAACATTTGAATAGCATAACATCAATAGTTATTTAAAACTCGATAATAAAGTTTTCATCATCACGCATCATTAAACATTAAAACTATTATTTTTATAAGTAGTAACTAAAATATCAAGTCCGAAACAAACCGAAAATAACATTTAAATAGCTTAACATTGACAATTAATTCAAATTCGATAATAATTAAGTTTTTAACACGCATCATTAAACAATAAGAAATGCAAAGTGCCTAAAACTATTGTTTTTGTAAGTAGTAACTAAAACATTAAGTCCAAAACAAACCTCATTTAATGAATAAAAATAATATTTTTTCTTCAAAATACTTGGGTAATTACTTGACTAAATACTTAACACTTCTGCAAGTTAAGTTTTACAGTATTAACGCTGTGTTATTTTATAACTAAATTCAAAGTTTTTTTTTATGAAAGATTTTTAAAAATTTTTAAACTTTGTGATAACATTTTTATAATTACACAATATAGTATTAACGCTAAATCACAAATATTTTTTGTGATTTAGTAAAAAATTATACAAATATTTGATTTTCTGATTTTTTATTTGAAAAAATACTTATATCTTTAAAAAAATAACAACAAAAAAATGCTATCTTGAAAAGATATTGCTTTAAAGATTATTATCAAGTCTGCAGATTGCGGGTAACATTATACAGACTCCGAGAACCAAAAAAAAAATGGAGATGGCAAGCTTCGGCTAAAACGATAATTTTAATTTTGTTGGTATGCATTCATTATTTAGTTATTTTGTTGGTAGACATTCATTATTTAAAAATTTAGCCCAAATGTTTTTTTTAAACATTTTCTTCAATATGAATACAACTTGTCTTGGCAGTTGGGGATTTAAGTTTTAATTACAAAAAGTTTTTCTTTTATATACTCGCTATCTAGCTTGGAGCTATTTCAATGTAATTTTTAAACTTTTCAAATTATAAAAAAAAATTTACAAAGAAGAAGTGTAACTAATGAAATACTCATACCTGAAAAAGGAAGAAACGCAAAAAAAATAAATAATGAAATAGTGAAGTGTTTTAATAAAAAAATGATCTAAATACATAATATAATAGTAATAGATTTAAAAAAGCATGTAGATATATTTATGCTTATGTAGCAGCCTGGGTAAAACCCTAAGCTGTACATATGTATAATTCTATCTACACGCTAGTGGCTTGTGAACTTTAGTTCTGACTAATTTCAGTTATTTACTGCAAGCAATTATTACAATATTGTTTATATTCCTATATTATTGAATGGCAACACTCTTACTGAATCTTCTGCTTTTCGTCTTCTGGGAATATCATTTACTACTAACCTAACATGAAAAACCATTTATACAATAGATTTCAAAGTTTTTATTATGCTCACCATTATCTTTCTCCTGCTTCCATCCTCTACAGGTTTATTACCTTACCTGGATGTTTTGTTTGAAGTATGTCTGAAGTGTTCTAAAAGTTAATTTTGGTTACCTTTAACAATAACATGGTTATTTCTGCTATTTGAGGCATGATCCACTATGAAAATGTTTTTCATCATAGAAGAATAAAATCTGTGTGCCTTTCTTCAATGAGATCGATATTTGTTTGCTTGTTTGAAGTCTGCTGGCCTTATTACTTTCAGTCAGTAACGACTAAACTGTTCTGGATAATGATCTAGCCCCAATATTACATTTTATGAGTTTTCTCATTGTTTCCTCTGACATTTTGAGATCGTTTGCCATCTGTCGTGGTCTTGCATTTTTTTTGTTTGTTGAACGTTTCACTTAAACTTTTTTTTTCTCTTTGAACAGTTTTTCTGTGGACTCCATGAGTCTTTGCGACCTTTCTGGGTGCCATCCTGGCACACAAAAAATAATATGTTTGTTTTTGTTTCCCATTTTGAACTACAAATAAATATGAATTTGAATTTTTTTATTTATAACAAGTATGACGTAATTTGGCACACACAGTGTTTCCTGGTTAGCTTTAAAAATGCATCAAATCTACTTTTAAAAATGTTAGTAGAACTTGCATTGACTACATTCGCTGGTAGCCCATTCTAGTTGTTAACAACTCGATTATTAAAATAGTTGTTTTGTTCTTGGCAAGATTTCATAATTTGCCGCGATAGTCACTGATTATGTTTACGCAAATTATAATCTGATAGCGATTTTGCATATACTTGAGGAATTACAAAGTCTACTTTTTCTATTTCATTAGTGATTTTATACTGTTGAATGAGGTCGCCCCTTTTTCAGCGTTCTTCTAAAGTAGTAAGATTGAGTATGGTTAGTCTTTCCTCATAGCTTTTGTGTTTTATCTTGCTTATTACCTTTGTTACTCGCTGTTGAATGCATTCAAGTGATTTTATGTCACTTTTTAAGTGAGGAAACCAAGCTTGGATAGCATACTCGAGATAAGGTCTAATATATGTTGTGTAGAGTACCCTCCATAACATTAGCTCTCTTGCGCAAAAAGCTTTTTTTAGTTTGCCAAGTACTTGGTTTGCTCTAGCCGCTGCAACTTCTACTTGATGCTTAACTTTGAGGCTGTTTGATGTTAGAACACCTAAGTCACATTCAATAGCTGTTGTTCCAAGTTCTATACGATTACCATATATGTAAAACATTGAGTAAAGGCGTACTGAATAATTTGTGTGACCAACATGCATGATTTTACATTCGTCTAGATTGAAATACATGAGCCACTTTTTAGACCATTTGACTGCATGATCTATGTCTTGTTTTAGTTTTATTGCATCATCTTCTGCTTTGATTACCCCTAAAATCTTATAATCATCTGTGTAGATCTTTATATGATGCACCATGTTGTCTGGAAGGTTGTTTATATAAGTTAGAAACAAAAGTGGACCTAACACTAAACTTTGTGGAGCACTGCTAGTAACATCTACCCATTCAGACTTGCTATTGCTGATGACCACTCTCTGTTTTTGATTTTTTAACTAGTCAGTTATCCACTCAAGGAGTGTTCCGTGTATGGTGTATGCATCAAGTTTTAAAAGAAGATGTTGGTGAAGTACTTTATCAAAAGCTTTAGCAAAGTCTGTGTAACTCACATCCATGACATGATTATGAAATAGTGCTTTTGTTAAAATGTCCTGTGCCTCTAGTAGGTTGTTTGTACAGCCACGTCTTGGAAGAAATCCATGTTGAGATTTTGTAAAGAGCCCTTTATCAAGGCAATGTTTCAGGGTACTTGTTATTTTTTGTAACAAACTTTTTGTAACTTTTTGTATTATTACTTTTTATTTTAGTATGGTAATCTAGACATCATAATTATTGTAGAAATAATGTTATTAGTTCCAGTAAGAGGGCTCAATACAGCATTTTATGTAATAAGCACAGCAAATAATTTGCAATTTAACTTTGTTTTTATTTTCATTTTGTAAAAACTAATTAACTAATAAAATATATTTAGTTGCATAACTTAAAGTTTGATGCAATAGTGATGTAATAAAAAAGAGTAACGACAAAAAATTATATACAAAAAAATGTTATGAAGTATCTGTTTTGATGACAATAAGTTTTTAATTAAAGATTTATTTTCATGGTGGCACTTTAACTTAAGCTCATTTAGTTTATTTAGTAAATTTAATGGCAATGTAGTAATGTGATATTTTTCTATCAAGCCTAAGTTGCAAAATTTACCACCAGAAAATAGAAATTTACCATTGAAATTGTTTAGTGGAGTTGACTTGGCCTAATTTAATAATGACCTTCTTCTTTACATTGCAAGTATAAAAAAGGTTTTTTGTAATTTGTAATGTAAAGAAGGTCGAGTGATGAGTTTTTACATTGTAAATATAAAAAATGTTTTTTGTAATGCATTATAAATTGAGTGGGCATTAGGTGGTTTGTTGGCAACTGCATAATTGATTAAGCATTCAAGTATATTAGATAATATATTTTTATCATAAAAAGTAAAAATACTCTTGATATTTGGAGGCTATAACTAACCTTTAAATTGTTTTGGTTAAAAAGTTTATGAAGTTTGTGACCTATAGGGAAGCATTTATTAATTATACACAGAAATATTTACAAAAATATTGTTTGCTCTGATGTTGAAAAAATAAGGAGGTTTAAATTAGATAATATATTAAGGTGTTTGTAATGAAATCGATCTTATCTTAGAGTCCGCAAGAATTGAGAGCGCTATTTTAAAATTATATAGCATTATCAAAAGCTCCTTTGCTTGAAAATATATTACTGATGTGATAATAGATCATTTTTGTTATTGATTTAATGGTTAATGAATGATTGCATCATTTTATAATAAGCACAAATTTAAAAGAATAAAAATGTTCATGATAAATTTGAAAATAAAAAACTTTAATAAGTTATTAAAAGAAAACAAAAATAACATTTTTTAAGCTTTATTAATTTATGCTGTTTGAATTGTTTATACTGTCATGCGTTTTTGTGTATTTTTTATATTGTCGTGTGTTTCTATATTTTGCTTATATTGTTGTGTAATTTTGTGCATCGTTTATATTGATATGTACTTTAGTGTATTGTTTATGTTAATGTGTTTTTTTTTGTGTGGTCCTGTTGCTAATTATCTTTATACTGTTGCTTTTTTATGTTGGTTGCTATTATTTAAGTTATTTCTTATTTTTTGTCTCATAATTTTTGAAAATAACCTTTTATTTTATTTTCTATTTTCTATCATCTTTCTGATTATTAAACGTTGTGTAACCTCATTTATTCATTATCTTTCATATCAATTTATTCACTTTTTGTGTTATTTGCCTTGCTTTTTTAAATATTTTTTCTTTTTATTTTGTTTAATTTTATTTTGGTTGCTATCTATTTTGGTTTATTTGTTAATTTTAATAAGGTATCACTCCAATGACTAGTTTTTAACTATTTGAGTGGCACCGAACCTAGTTTTGTAAAATTATAAATAACTTTTTATTTATTTCAATTTTATGGTTAAATAAATGGATAAAAAAAAGTTCATGTGAGAATGCTTAAAATAAGGCTAAGTGTATTTGTAAATACTTAAAAGAATGCTTTGTAAGTATATTTGTTGTCTATCTCTGGAATCTCTGAATGTTGAAAATGAGATTTTTTTCCAAGATACTGTAAGAATGGTTTGCAAGGGGTGCACTCTCATGGTCGTCCGATGGCACAGGACAACTTGTTTTCTTCAAAGGCGACTGAAGTTTTTAAAAAATGCCTGTCAGTAGCCAGGCAAGACCACCAGACAGTTTGTTACTTACAAAAGTGTATTTGTTAATAAAACTATATTTTAATCTGTAGAGATTTTATTCCTTGCAATTATTTAAAAGAAAACTTTAAAAAGTATTCAAAGTAGTATACACTTTGTTTAACAACAAGTACACTATGGTGCGTTATATAATTTTCCCAAACTTAAACATTGTTGTTGCATTTTGAAGCACGCTTCTTCTCAATTTAAAATGAGTTTTAAAATTACACATTCTTTTATTTTCATATGCTGTTATATTATTTTTTAAACCTTATAGTCCCATTTTGAATCACTTGAATGGGCAGTTGAATCATTAATAACACTGAATCTCTTTTGTTTTTCATTAGTAAAATAATTTTTTTTAGACTTTTTCAAACAAAATTAACAAAATAAAAAACATGCATGTGAAAAGTCATTATTAGAATGCAATTAGTTATGCAAGTGGAAATTATTTTTTTCTAAAAAAAGAAAAGTCTTAGAATAATGAAAAATGTTTAAAACATTAAAAACATAATTTGATTAAAGATTGAGAGAGAATAATATAATATTTTTCTACATATAAAATGTTTCTTTGTAGTTTTGGCTTTCAACATTTTTGCTTCACGTAATGTAACCTTTACTAAGATTTATAAAAACAAATGATACAGATATCGATTACGACAAAAATGACAACACATTTTTAATTTATTAAATAAATTAAATAATTTTTAAACCATTTCTTATTAGACATATTTTAGTAGTCAAACTTTTAAATTGTTTTTCTTTATTATTTTTACTTGAGAAAAAATACAAAAAAACTTTTACACCGATTATCATTTATTGATTATCATAGCAGACGACTCAAATAAGAAATAAAAACTGTTTCAGTCGTCCACAGGGCAACTGGGAAAAAACCGAAGGGTGCACCGCTGCAAGTGTTTGCATAGACAGGATACAAAATAATAATGAAGCAATAAACAATTTGATTTGGGAAACTGTTCTAAAATTTGGAGTCTTTAGAATTTGCAAAACTTTTATAATTATGTTTGAAATTTTTTTTAAATAGCTGTGTAATTAGTCCTTTATTACTTTTTATTTTATTAAAAAAAAAATCTGAAATAATTTGAAATAAAAGTTATTGCAATTGATGTTCCATAACAGTTTAGACAACTTTATTTTAAGGAGATCCTGCTACCTTAAATTGTTCATCAAACTAATTTTTTCAATTAATTTTTTAATTGAAAAAATATAAAATATAAAAAAATAAATAAATATAAAATATAAAAATATAAACATAAAAAAAAGTTTAAAGAATATAAGTTAAAGAATCAACTTAAATTCTTTTAATTTTTCCTTATTCCATATATTTTTTTAAACTAATGTATTATTTAATAGAATTAATAAGAGTTATCTTAATAAATATTTTTATTTTATGAATGAATTAATACTAAATTTCAAAATTTAAAAGAGAATGTATGTAAATGTTTCATTAGATGGCTTAGATTTAAAAATTATTTTTTTAAATTTTACTTGTTTATTTGTTTTTTTAAACACTGCAAAAAATGAATTCTTATTTTAAGTAATAAAAAAATCTTGTTTTAAGAAATTTTCTTCTTAAAAAAAGCAGTTATTTAAAACAATTTTTTACTTGTCAGTTTAAAGAGTAATTTTTTACTAGAATTTTTTTCCTTACATTACTAGAATATAATCTATACCAGCAACAACAATTTATACAAGTAAAAAGTCAATTTATTTTAGGAAATTATCTTTAAACAAATATATATATATATATATATATATATATATATATATATATATATATATATATATATATGCATATTTTATACTATTTATAGTAATATTGCTGTTTATATATATTGATTTTTTTTAAAGATATCTGATAAGAGGTATACTAAACTTAAAGAAGTGGATGATGTTTTGGGTGGAGAAGATGCATGGAAGAATGTAGATTCTACTGAAGGTAAAGTTGCGTGTTATTAGTTACTCTTAAATCTTCTTATATTGTTTAAGTTAAATATTTTTTAACTTTTTAAAAATATTTTAGATTTACAGAAAATATTTTCGAGAATTTTTATAAAAGTTGAAAAAATTCTTAGCCTGAATAAAACAGGCTTATGTATTGCTTGGTTTTGCATATGCAAGCCAAATTAAGATATATTCAGAAACTATCTCAATTAGACAAAGTTGCTGGTCCTTCTGGTGTATTAAAATGTTGAAGGCTAAAATTTAAGCTTAATTGTTATTCATATCAACAAATAAAATTGCTTGACCAGGTAATGAAAGTTTTAAAAAGGAAAAAAGTTGCTAAAAAAAAAAGAAGTGCATTCATCAATAACATGCAGTAACATGGCTTTAGACTTCGAAAGAGTACAACATGAAATATTTACGTGGTAGAAGTAGAAAAATTGAGGTAGAACAACATTTGAGGAAGAACAACATTTGAGTTACAGATGACATGAAAAAGCTTAAGCAAAAGATGATGCTTACAAATGTGTATATTAGTAAAGTGGCATTATGAGAAAAGGGTGATAAGTACAAGTGTAGAAGCAAGCCTAAAATGATGTTGATAGTAAATTTTTTTTGGAACATCAGTGTTTTGGAATTCTCTTCTGTCTTCATGTTTTCTTCATTTTTATTGTTTGTATTTCTAGGTGTTTTTTTTTTTGTCAACCTTTCTCTTCTTAAGCTATCTTCTTTGTTTATTTGTTTTAATCTTGTGAAAAATGTAATGCAATTGCTGATCTTGTTTAATGTATAATGTGACACGTGGGTTTCTGTCATGCTGGTATAAATCTTTTATGATTATATTTTTTAAATGTTTAATGATTTTTATAATTTGTGTTATTATGGAAATTTATAAGTTCATAATCATTGTAAAGTTCTTCTTCTTTGTAACAATTTTTTATTAAAGTAATGCTAACAGGTAAAGTAGCGTTAGTAGTATGTTATTTTTGTGTGTTTGTGTGTGTGTGTGGAGGGTAGGGATGGGACAGGGGGTAGGAGAGGGTATAGGGAAAGGGAGTAGGAATAGAGGAGTTGTATGGGATGGAATAGATTATTATAAAAAGCCAAATATCAGAAATTCTTTTTATTTTTATTTTCAAAATTTTTTAATAAAAAATGTAAAATACTTAATAAAATAGTATTCAATATATGTTTTTGTGTATACATGCATACATGTTTGTGTATGTTTTATGTTCTTATCATAAGATTGTTTTGTCTAGAGTAAGTTTGTTTTGCATGAGTTTTATATAGCAAGATCATATTACTAAATTTATATTGAAATGCTATATGCATATAAGGTTACAATAGTGTTTATTTGTTTAATACATTATTTGTTGTTATACATTGCAATTGTCAAATTTAATGTCATAATGTTACAATTGTTAACTTTAATGTTATATAATTTAAGAGTTTTTTTATTAAATGTTATATAGTGTTATATAATGTTAGCTACAAAGTTATTTTTTAATTGTTTAACAATGTTTTTCTTATGTATGAAAAGTTTACTTAAGAAACAAAAGAAATTTTTTGTAATTATGTCAAAGTCAAATAGTCTTTCTTTTTCTATTTGTGTAATATCTTTTTTAAAGGATAGGTTTTCAAATTAAATATATTTACTGCACTTTTATCTTATGTTAAGTTTATGCGATATTCCTAATTTATGCACTTAGTGCAGTTAAAAAATATATTATTAATATTTGTTTTAACTAATTAATTTTATTTTATACAATGAACTAAATTTTATGAAATTTTTATTATAAATTTCATATGTCCAATATAATATTTTTATTATAATTTCTATAATATTAATTATCACAATGTTATAAATTTTTCATTAAAGACATTGTATTATATGCCTTTTTATAAGTTTTAAATGTGTTTTTCTTTTAAATAAAAAATCACTAATTATAATAATTTATTCTTTAGAAAAATGCCCAAAATGTGAGTTCAAAAAAGCATATTTCATGCAAATTCAGACAAGATCTGCTGATGAACCAATGACAACATTTTACAAATGCTGTTCATGTGGTCATCGCTGGAAAGAATAACATCCTTTTTCTACTAAACTGGTACTCCTGTTAACTATTGAGTTAACCTTCTGTGAGCAAACTATCTATGATTTTATTGTTTTTTAAGACTATTAAATTTAAAAGGACTATCAAATTCAAAAGGACTATTAAATTCAAAAGGACTATTAAATTCAAATGGACTATTAAATTCAAATGGACTATTAAATTCAAAAGAAATTAAATTCAAAAGAAAAAAAAAAGATTTTTTAATTATAAAAAAGATCTTTTAATTATAAAATGGTTTTTTTATTTAAAGTTTTCTCAATATAATAGATTGATTACTTTTGTTTTTATTTGTATTTCTTGCATTTATTTACATATAGTTTCAAATATCAAACTTTAATATGTTGAAATAATGATTTATAACTCAGGAATATTTGCACTGGCTTTTAGCATTTAAATCTTCTTAATTACATTTATGTATATTTATTTTTTTAAATAATATCTCTTTCTCAAAATTCTATAGTTTTAGAGGTCATCAGCATTACTGATATTTTTCATGTTTCTCTTTTAACTATGTATACTTTGAAACAGGTACACCAGACAGAGATTGTTGATCTTAAGATCTTATATACATAAGACTAGCACTCTACTGGTGGGCCACTAATAAAGTTAGTACTGCTACCATTAATAAAAAATGTTTTACAAAATTTTACAAGTACTGATAATATTTGTTTTTTAAAAAGTTTAAAGAAATGACAGCCGTTTCATTATATGATGATGATCAAACTGATTATTTAATTGATGATAAAGAATCAAGAAAAATTAGTAGAAAATCTAGTACTCTAAGTCGAGAGGTCACTGAAACAGAACTAGTTTATCATGATTTGGAATATGTTATTCCTGTGAAAGAAAAGAGAAAAAAATTTAACAAGACTATTTTGACAGGATGCTCGTAAGTTGTTGTTTTTTTCTGGAATAATCCCACAGTTTTTTTTTCATACATTTTATTCCTCTCATCTTAGACACACTTTGTTTATGTTTAATAATCACATGACACTTTAGTACTGCTCATTAATTACATGACATCTTTTCTAATATTCAGTAATGTTGTGTTTAAATGTTTGAAAGTCAATTTAATTGTCAATTTGCTTATTTAACATTATATCATTTTTAACATTGTATGATTAGGGGCATTATGAGACCTGGATTGAATGCAATAATGGGACCTACTGGTTCAGGGAAAACCACGTAAGTTTTCTAAATAATGTTGAGGTTTATTTTAGAGTAAACTGTTGACATTTGTTTTTGTAAGAATTATTAAATGAAAGCTCAAGCTTTTAAATATTTTCAAAATGTAAAATCTACTTATTTTAATTATTCATCATTTTTTACTTTTGTATTTTTGTATTTAGGTTGTTGGATTTATTGGGTGGTCGTAAAGATAAAAGATTTTTAAAGGGGCATGTGTTTGTTAATGGAATACCGCAAACCAGTGATTTCAAACTGTCTTCTGGTTTTGTTGTTCAGGTTCATTACTTGTTTATTATAACTCGTCATGATCACTGTGGCCAGCAGTATTTCTATTCCTGACTATTTAAATTTACTAGTCGTATATTTATTATTATATATCAGCGCTCAAAATAATTATTTGAAGGTTGCCGATCAACACTGATCGGCAGAAATAATAAAAGTGATAAAGTAGACGATCAAAAAATTATCCAGATGATCAAATTTTTCTTAACTTTTTCTTTAATAGCGTACAGTTTAGGTGACGTCAAATTGTTTGTTTTACCGCTATCAACCTACAATAAATTGCGTTTTTAGAAAATTCTATTGATTTTGTGCAATTTTCTAAAATATCTTTACCTTAATGCCTTTTAGTACTAAAAAAATCTATTTTTAGAACACTAGCTGAACGCTATTGGTTTTTGAATACAACAGCGTACGCCCGCGTTATCGTTTATAGTTTTTACTTTTAAACTTAGCTCTTAATTCACTTTTTCACTTCAACCCGTTGCCTTTTAAATGGCGTAAAAATATTTTTTGTGACTCGAACAATTGTTTTTTATATAATGATCGTTTTTTAACAAAAATGACACAATAAAAAGGTAATGAACTTTTTAACCAATATTTGATTATTAAAACTTTTTTAAACTAAAAAAAGGTGAGAAAAAATAATCTCGTTTTGTGCTATTCATTACTTGATTCGTTAGATGATGAATCCAAGTGGATTAATGTTTTTAATCCTGCTTTTTTTGCTCTTTTGGAATAGCATTTTCTTACTGATTGTTTTGGCCTTTGCACGGCATCATTGGTCCATAACTCAATAGCAGAACTTAAATCAAATAAATTGGAATCTTTTTCATCGAAACTTACTCAAATTAAATTTTCTAAATGTTTCTCTTTCAGAGAGTTTCTTGTATCCGTTTTTACTCTATTCATTAGTGAAAAAAGGCGTTCAACTTTCGCATTAAAAACAGGCAAAGTAAATAATAGTTCGTTAATAAGTAAAACCGGAACCCATTCATTTTTCATTGAGCTAGAAAAAATTTGATGCCATAACTTACGATAACCGGTATTATGTGGTGCTAAATATTTTACAGTGTAGTTTACCAAGCCATGCCAAGCATCCAAAACATCATTTACAGTTCCTGCAAAACCAGCATGTCGCAACGGCGCTCTATAAAAGTCAAAAAGATTTTCTATTCCTTCATCCAGGAATGTTTCATTTTCAATACTTTGAAGCCAACCTTCTGTATTTAAAACTTTTGTACCATACATATCAGTAATAGTATCGCTTGTTTCCAAACGCTCTATGATTGAATTTGTTACCAACTCGATATGAATAGATTTAGACTTTTTTACTAAATGTTTAGCATTTACAAAGTCGTTAAGTGCAATACCCTGGAAATAAAACTTTCCTTCTTTTTCAGTCACTTTGGCGAGAAAACGTTTTACTGTTGGCAAATTAATAAACTTTGTTTTTTGAATACGATTTAAATGGCTTTTAGCTTGTTGAACAAACCCTGATGAAGCCAACACATCTATCTCATCACTTTGAATACATTTTGACAACATCTTTGCTGGTGCTAAAATCTCAATAAACAACGCGATATAAAGGGGCATTCTAGCATGAATCCACTTTTTGTGGTATCCTTTAAACTTAGCTCTTTCAGCATTGGTAAATGTTATATCTTCAGTCATATTTTCCAGATGTGTTAAATAAACACCGTATTTATCTAAAATCATTTCTAAAGCCTGAACTTTATGTGAAATCCATCGTGTACCTAAAAATGAAACAAGATTATACAATTTATAATTTACTTTATACTTGCAAAAACTAAAAATATAGGCGTCACGCATAACTGTAATGGTAATAAATATAAGATAAATAAATCAAGCAAAAAAAAAAAAAATACCGGAGGCTTTCTTAGGTCGGTAACCACCAATGTTATATTCATCATCTTCTAAAATAGAAACGAGTTCACCCAACTGTCTTAACTTTTCGGGGGATTTTTTGTAAATGTAATGCATTTTTAAAATCATGTAATCAACGTCATTGAATAAGGCTGTTTTTTCTAATTTTTCTTTTAATGATAACTCGAGACGATGTGCTACACACCAGCCAAACGTGATCCAGGGGACTTCAGCCTTGAGCAACATTTTAACGCCCGACTTGCTCCCTCTGTTAACGGATGCAACATCCACACCAAATCCAACTAGTTTTTTATTGCAATTTACGACTTCTATATTCTCGAGTGACTTTTTTATGGTGTTGAAAACTCCGTGCGAAGTTCCATACTCAACATCCAAAAGTGAAAGAAAATCACATTCAACGTTTACTTCAGATTTTCCAGTTGGAGCCGGATTAAAAGTAACGGCAAATATAGCTTCTTTTTCCTTAATTGAAACGTCAATTAAAATAGTGAAAAAATTTCGAGTATTTAGTTTATTTTTGAGATCTATCGCTAAACTAAGAGCAATGTAGTCAATAAATACTCCGCATGTGTTTTCGTTTTTATAAGCCTGACCAATAACTACACCATGTTTCTCTTCTAATTGAATAATTTTTGGGTATAGGCAAAGCGATAGTTCTTCTTTTGCTATAAAGTAAGCGACCTCAAATTTTTTTTTTGTCAAATCCAAGTCTTTACTATTCATGGTTTGAATACCGGATAAAATGTCTGTTTGCCGCATTTCCTGCTGCAACTCCTTTAGTTTTTCAATTCGATCGCACAAATTCATGCCTCTCATTTTCATAAAAATCTCAAAAGCCTTCTGATGAGACATTCCCCCTGCATGCGTGATTGCAGAACTATGTTGCAATCGACTACATCCTTTTCCACAGCTCCATTCCGGAGTGTAGCCTTTTAAAATCTGAATTTGCGATGCATATTCTCGGCATACTTTGCATTTTAGCGCTGTAACTATTCCGTCAACGCTTTCAATTTCAAGCCAATCATTAGCATTATATTTTGCAAGCGTAGAGACTTTCCATTTATTAGCTGTTTGTAATTGTAGCTTTCTGTCATAAGTTTTTAGTTTTTTCTCAGCGGGTGTTCCAAATACTAAGTTTCTTTTAAAAGAAATAAATGTTTGACGCTTTTTGTATGCTTCCATTTTAAGATTATTTTTAAACTTACCATTTAATTTCTAAAACTTTAAAACAAAAACTGTTTCTTTCAATTTAAATTGTCACGATGATTTCAAAATGAAGTTTTCCAACGAATCACAAACTTGCTTTGTTCATTATTTTTCAGACAATCAAAGAAATGTTAACCTTTCTAGTTATTAATTCATTTTATTCAAATGAATTCGCTTTGTTAAAATAATTCTTTTACAGTTAATAAACTTTCGAACTGAAGACTGTTACGAAATCAACGCTATGTTTATTCCACCAATCAAAAGCATTATTAAGTTATTTACAATAAACTTCGCGCTTCTTTTTAATTACCATTTTTAATGTGAACTAAAAGATTATTATTGGTCTAAAAACTTGTTTAATTCAGCAATAATGAACATATTTTTTTTAATGCTAATTTAATAAATTTAAGATTCTTTTTTAAATGTTAAAAAATTTTTTATTTTAATGTGTGACATGCAATGTAGACGATCAAATTTGATTGGCCATAATTAATTTTGGGAGTTCAAAATTTCATTTTTTCCAAAAGTCGACGATCATTGATCGTTGATCGGCCGTTATTTCGAGCGCTGATATATATATATAGTCGGTAAATTTATTAGGTTTTTAATGTTTTAGTCATAAAACTTCATAAAGGTTTATAATATAAGATCTATATAACCAGTTATTAAAAAAATATAGAAATTACTTATTAAACCAGTTAAAACCAAGAACACACATAAAATATACAAGATTATATTGATAAGTTGTTAATTAGTTGTTGAAAATTTTTTGAACTTTCCTCAAAAATGTTTTCTCTTCTAAAATTTTTTATTTAAAGACTCAAGGTTCAATTAGAGTTTTTCATACATGGCAGAAGTTTTACAAAAACAAATTAGTATAAAAAAACTATGTATTTATGCCCAACAAAGACATAAATGTCTATAAAATGTTGAAACAGTGATGGTTGATTATCCATTCAGAATGAATTCCAGATTAATGTTTTGAACAAACTTAAATTAAATGTCAAATTTTTGACATCTGTTAAAACAATTATTAAATGTAAAAAATGCATTTAGATTTAGTCTTTTTGTATATAAATGTATATAAAGTGTCTAAATTTAGTATTATAGGATTTAAATTGTTCTTATTACTGTTTTATTGCAAATAATTGGCTGGTCATTTCATAGTCTTACTTAACGATGTTACACATTAAACTTTGAAATGTGCAAATTGTATCAGTTTATACTTTATAAAAAGTTTTTAGTAATTTACAATAAAAAGTTCCACAAGATGACTTGTAGTGCAATAAATTTAAAAAAATATTTTTAGAAAAAATGTTTTTTAAAATTAGAAAAATTAAATATTTTAAAATTTCAAAACATTCTGATTAGGAGTGTTCAATTTTGGTTTCCTTCCAAGATTCCGAGAAAATTTTTTACATGATCCATGTTTTTATAATGAAAAATAGTTTGTTTCAATTATACAATTTATGTGACATAAAAAAAAAATAAGTTTTAATGAGTTTCCAACTTTCTGGCAAGTGGAAATAGATTGAATTCAATCTATTTCCAATTTCCAGAAAGTGGAAAGTATTTAAAAGTTAATCACTTTCTTTAAGTTTTTACATGGTAATAAAATTATAATATTACTATTGATTAAATTTGACCTTACTTCCCTGCACTTTCCAATTACTTTCCTTTGGAAAGTTATAAAAAAAATTTATTTAATTCTGATCTATTTTATCAATTTCCAACCACCCGTTCCAACCAACCTACCATTATTAAGACCTGTCCCAGTTTATTAATTTTCAAAGAAAAAAAAATTTAATGTAAAATTAAGAACTACTTTTTGTTAAATGAGCTGGCTTGATTATGCAAAGATGTTAGGCAAAGATAAGTATCTATTATACCATGGAAGTATAAAAAAAAAGTTCAACTGCATTCAAATGCTTCAGGACTATGCTTGTAGCCTTTTGTTTTATAAGCAATAAAAAAACGACATCAAGACTGTACGTAAACTTTTAATCTTTATATGTTGATGCAATTAGGTACGTTTATGATAATTTAAAATATAGTATTTTGATGATTTGTCAATAATATTTGAGTATAAATATTAAAATTGGCACAACAAAATGACAAACAACAACTTTTTATAAACTTCATATTAAATAAATGGAGTATTACAAGAATGAATAGAATTATGATATACAGCTAATGAAACTTTAAGCTTTAGTAATTTAGAAAACATTTTTTTAAATTTTTAAAAAAATGTTTTAGTTGTCTTTTTAATCAAATGTCATGTTATGATATGAAGCAAGAAAAGAAGCTTAAGTTAACATATGCTTTTAAAATCCCAATGGAGTTAAATTATAATTTCCAAGTTTTAATAAACCTTTTGTTTTAATAAAAATCATTTTAGTAAGTTTTGTTATTTTTTGTCCAGTGAAACTTGTTTTTTTTATTGTCTGTTACAAGCATACTCTCAAGACAGCTTGAAATTGCTTTGATGTTTGTGGCTTCATGAATTTCCATCTGTATGTATATACATTTAATAATAAACGTATAAGTTAATAGGTTTGTAATGTACCCTTTATATATCCTAATGTATACATTTATTAAAGGTTTACTAAATTTTCAGAATAATGACATATGTTAGTAATAATATTTTAAACGTTTAATCAAAGTATTCATAAAAAACCTAGAAATGTTGATCCAAATCAACCGTAGATATTTGGTTAATAATTAGTTGCTAAACAGTTTATTAATTTTTTGACCAATTTTGACTAAATATTGACCTATTCTAGACGTCTCTGTGTTAACTAGATGGCATGTAATATATATATATATATATATATATATATATATATATATATATATATATATATATATATATATATATATATATATATATATATATATATATATATATATATATATATATATATGTATATGTATATGTATATATATGTAATATATTTAAAAAAAATATATATATATATATATATATATATATATATATATATATATATATATATATATATATATATATATATATATATATATATATATATGTATATATGTATATATATATATATATTTAAAAAATATGTTAAGTAATTTTCCAAATTCAACTCCTCAAGTATGTGAGCCACTGTGCAGTTGAGTGTGGTACTTGATCATTACACCAATATCACCTATCAGCAATTATTTATTAACAATAATTAATTAGAATATCAACAATAGTGATGAAATCAAAACAATGATAACAATAACAATGATATATAATTTCTATATAATAAGATATTCATAAAAGACATAAGGTATCATCCATTCATAAAAAAATATTGAAATTTCTGCAATAATCATTGACAAAAAATAAATTTACTTTTATTTGCTAAAGCAATCAATAATCACAGAAAGTGTGTTTTGATTTAAAAAATACCTGATCTATTTATTGAAAAGCTTACTTTTTTTTCTATAAATAAATTTAAAAATATTTTAAAATATTTTAAGAATATCAAAAGGTTTGTTAAGAAAGATTATTATTATGGATGCACATGGGTTTAGTGTGAATGTGTGAAGAAGTAAGTGTTTGGGTATTTTGAGGAAGTAAAATTTAGAAGAGGTAAAAGTTTGGGTAAAAGAAAAAAGTAACCTTTAGATACAAGCTTTAAATTTAGTCTTTAATAAAAAATGTTTTATTTTTTCAAGTGCCTTCTAAGGCAAAAGTTACTAAAAAGAAACAAAAACTTTAAATAGTATAAAGAGTTACTATTAAAAGTTTCTGATTCTGCTCATATTTTTTTTATACTAAGAAATAAAAAATATACAATGACTGTCTCATAACTTTGTAATAAATCTAAAAAGAATGATATATCTAAATTTATATTGCAACATTTTCTTTACTATATAAGTTTTTTTAAATATAACTGTTGTTTAGGATGATGTTGTAATGGGCACACTTACTGTACGTGAAAATCTTTATTTTTCTGCAAATTTACGATTGCCAAGTACGTTTAGTAGTTCTCATAGAAAGGATCGTGTGGAAACAATAATTAAAGACTTGCAATTAACTCTTTGTGCTGATACACTGGTTTGTTTGTCATAATTTAAAATTATAAAAAACTGGTTATTATTAATTCATTAAAATGCAATTGTGATAAAAAATCAAATATTAACAAAAGTTTTATAAAACTTATAATTTAGTTCTAATTTTAACTTTTAAATTTTGAATTTATAATTAAATTATTGAATATATATATAAAAATTTATTATGTTTTTATATACCAAGGTTGGCGCTCAAAATCGAAGAGGAATATCAGGTGGTGAACGCAAAAGAACATGCATTGGAATGGAGCTTGTCACATCTCCAAATGTTTTGTTTCTTGATGAACCAACTACTGGTCTTGATGCTTCAACAGCTGTTGTTGTTATGAAACTACTCAGAAAGTATGATTTTTTTACAAATATGTAGAAAATATAAATACTTTATTGATAATATTAAACAGTTGGCTTTAAAATCTTTATTAATGTTAGGTAGGCATTAATATCAGTAAAATGTAATTTTTTTTTTAACATTTATTATATAATTTACAAATTGAAATTCGCAATAAAATTAAAAGCTTTACAATGATTTGCAAAAGTGTTTTTGAGTTAAATTAAGATAGTGCCTCAAAATGTAGTTATATAGAAAACAGGACCAGTATCAGTGTTTGAATGCATGTTTTATGTGTTTATTTAAAAAGGTTTTGCTTGTTGTAGACTTTTTACAGTTGATGTAGACTTTTTACAATTTATATTCATTATGAGTAAAATCTGAAATAGTAGAAAAATCAAATATTATTTATGTATATATGTAAAATAGTTTTAACCCTGACAAATATTTTAGATTTAATTTAATTTAATTAAAAAAGAAATTGAATTAAATTAAAAATTTTAAAATTAAATTAATTAAAAAATTAAAAACTTAATTAAATTAAGAAATTAAAAAACTTTGATTAAATTTGAGCAGCTGCGAAATACTAAAAAGTACAAAAAAGAATTAAAGAACAAGAAAATAGTTAACAATGAAAAAATTTAAAGTGCACCAGTGTTATAAGCTTTGTTATCTTTTTCATTGTTTTTTTCATTTAAAAAAACATTTAAAATTTAGTATATCAAAATATAGTATAAAATTATGATTTAGATAAAGTTTCAAACTGTTCCAAAGAGTTTTTTTTAAGAGTAAGAAGACAAATAAAGTGATATGGTATTTGTAAGTGATACATGACCTTTATGGTCATGTCCAAGTTACAAAGTTAAAGGAAGAAAAGTTTGTGTAATTAAAAATTATATGACTATAACCAAAAAAGTTATTTTATACTTTTGACTGCATTTTTGTTTAGAGGTCTCTAATATATTGGTTGCCCTGTATATCTATAAACACAATTTCTCTCGGTACTATTTTATTATTTTTTAGAATTATTTGGCACAATTAATAAACAGAAGCATCACTTATAATTATACTCTTATTAATAGCTTTGCTAATGTTTGCATTAAACATTAGTACTCATCATAATAAACAAAAGCATCACTTATAATTATACTCTTATTAATAGCTTTGCTAATGTTTGCATTAAACATTAGTACTCATCATAATAAACAAAAGCGTCACTTATAATTATACTCTTATTAATAGCTTCGCTATTGTTTGCATTAAACATTAGTACTCATCATGGCACTGGTAATACTCCAATATTTTTTAGCTGTTGATAGAACTTGTCTCCCTGAAAGTTGATACAGAGATTAAGAAAATATACTATCAATCAGCCTAAACTACACAACCAGTCAGAGTTTAAGAACCTTATTAAAATATTAAAATTTAGTTTTGAAGTTTTCAATTTGGGTTTTTATCCTAGACAAGAAATTTACATTTACAGTAACCAGATGTTACTTTCTAAGATTCAAATGAAATATCAAAAACTTCATAATTTCATAATTTCATTTCATTTCTGTATTATATGAAGTGAGAAATCAAGAAAAACTTCAGGAACTAGAATAAAACATAAGCAACTACATAAAAACATCAGCAACTACACAAATAATGACAAACTAAATCAAATGCCTGAAACTAAAAATACTAAGATAAAAGATATCAGTATTAATGCAAATACCAGGAAAAACTACATGAGACAATCTGAACAACATGAGAATCCGACAATACAAAATTTCAGAAACCGCTTACGTTATCATAATATATATACACATAAATGTTATGTAATGCAATAAATATATATACACTTGCTGACCAGTCTTTGTAAGTCTGCTCCACACTGACCTTTTCTACACTTTTTCTCTCTCTCTATATATATATCTTAGCTCTTCAGACCTGTAAAATACCTGTCTTCACCAAACCGACCATTTCTATACTTATCTACTCCACACCGATCATTTCTATATTTATTACTTATTTACTTCAATATTTTTTGAAACCACAAAAGTAATCATAATATATAAACACAAAAAACGTTATATAATACAATGCATAAATATATATACACTAGCTGACTAGACCTGTAAAAAAGTCTTAGTAAGTCTATTCCACACCAACCTTTTCTATATTATTTTCTTTATATATCTAGCTGTTCAGACTGTAAAATACTGACCATTTTTATATTTATCTATTCTACACTGATTATTTTTATACTTATTCCTTATTTGCTTATAAGAAAATTATAAAATAGTTTATTTTTCTCTTGCATGCATAATTTCAATAGCTCAGTGGTTTTGTGCCCTGTCATCGGTGTTATTTTGTGAGGGTTCAAATTTTTTTTGTTATAATTGTATATGGCCAGATTGAAAAAAATTTCAATTTTTTGTGTCTTCACAGCAACACCTTCTGGATTTGCAGGATGAGCTTATTAATTTTTTTCTTTATTAATTTTCAAACCATTATTTTTTTTTCAGACCATCTGCAGCTTATTAGGACTAATTACCTGAGCACATTAGTAACATAAGTATCTCTATTATGACATATGCACAAAAATTTCTACTGGTGTTTTGATGTTTTTAGAAAATTTAGGTTTTTTCAAATCACTTCCTTTCTTTTATTATAGTATATATTATCTTTATATATGTTATGTGTGTAATATTTATATATATGTGCACAGTCGTATTATGTGGTAGGGATCAAACTCAGAACTTTCTCGATTATGAAACAAAGGCACTACCACTACACCACTACTGCATTTGTTTATTTCTTACTTAAGTGTTATATTATACCTAAATAGTTATAAGAATATTTTAAAGATAGACCTTAAGTTAATTTGCCATCATGGTTCTATGATTTTTTCATGGATTGTCTATATCAAAAAAAAAAAATAAATAAATAAAAAAAAATTCATATTAAATTAATTCTAACAAAATAAATTAAGAATTTTTATGTAAATTTATCTTGAGTTAATAAACATTAATAAAGTAGTTTTTTTTAAATGTTTAATAGATAAAAATAAAAATAAAAAATTGATAGTTTTAAACTTTTATATAACAAAAATGTAGTTTAACATTTCAAAATTAATTCCTCACACATCAGAAAGTTAAATCTAATTGATAAATTGATTCTGTAATAAGATCTTTTTTTATGCTCATAAAAAGAGTGCACATTTTAAAAAAATCAACTTTACTTTAATTCTTCTACTTCTACTAATCATCTCGCCTACCCTAATATTATAGATTTTGTATTTTGTATAAAATAATTGAATATAAATCCTTTAGTATCCCTATAGTAGAACCCCTATAGTAAAAAAACAACTGGAGGTCAGGTATATTTTTTAGAGAATGTCACTGTAAAGTAAAGAGTTGAATTTAAAATCAAGCGTCATTAAGCAATCAGAAAACATTATATTTAAACAATAGTTTGAAATTTTATTTTAAAATATGTTTCATTAATGTGTACTGGTTTGAAAATTATTATTTTAAATTTGGCCATTTAAAAAATTTGTTTCACTTTCATTGGTGGACTTTAATGCCCGGGCTTAATAACTCCTAAAATTAATATCATGATATCCTTTCCCAAACCATTAAAAAACATCATCCTTAGGAATAAAATTAATAATTGGTAGACCTACTAATGAAAGAAATATTAAACTTGACACAGTTCTTATTTATTAAAAATTTTGCAAGGAAGATAAGATTATATTCGTAGTAGAAAATGAACGCTTACATTCAGCTTTAGAAACAATCAAGGTATTTATAGCAGTGCTCAGAGGCTAAAGATCATTAGGAATTTTATTACAGTCACCAGTGGAAAAAGTACCCATGAAACTCTTGGATTGCTGCATTTTCACAAATATTTAAAGTTTTAGCTTATTGTTTGATGTCTTTATCTTCAAAGCATTGATCATGGTCTGCAAACCATTGTGGCTTATCAAAAGTTTGCAAATTTTTTATTAAATTATTGTATTTTTATTTGTTTGAATCATTTTTTTTCTTCTAATAATTTATGTGCAGCTCTAGTTTTAAATATTCAAGAATCAAAATTTTCATTTAGTTTAATTAAAAATTTTTATTGAATAATTTTAGAAACTTTTCTACTGCAAGATATGTTTGTGAGTAATATTCACCCGAATTATTTCTCATTGATTGAAATATATGGTTTTTTAAGGTGATAGGCTGATGAACATCAGGTAAAGAAGTTGTGCATCAGGTAAAGACTGTCTTGTAACTTTTTAGAAAAATGTTTTAGTTCTATAAAAGCATCCTGCATTAGTTCCTTGTTAAGTATGAAATTGATATCACATAATTTCTTTTTAAGGCCTGCATATTGGATTCTATCTTCTCTGTTACTTTTAAGATCCAATGAAGACTCAAGAACACATTGAACAACACCTATCTGGTACCTAGAATTCCTCCAAGAGAATTTAGTTTTACATCTTTAGCTTTGGCAACAGTTTCCAGTTCCTTTTGTATGTAACTTATCAAAATACTTTTTCATGTAACAAATTGGTAAAACATCTTGCACAACATCATTTACTGCTAACTCTAAACAGTGGTTACTACAATGCCATAAAATTAAGTTAGGAAACTGATTTAAAAGTAACTGAGCCATGCCTGCTTTTTTGCCAATCATTTTAGAAGTACCATCACAAGCAAAAGACACCCAATTATGCAATAAAAAATTGTTCTTAAAACCAAGATCATGTAAAGCACTTATAAAAGAGTTTGCAATAGATGAAACTTCTGTTTTTGTTAATTCGATAAGGTTATAAAATATACTATTGACAATATTTATTTCTGGAATGTTCACTTGCAAGCAGATTGACAGAGCAGACTTTTTGCTAAGAAGATTCATCTATCATGAATCCTACTTTAATATTGTTAAGTTTAATATAGTTTACAAGCTTTGTGCACATTTTATTTGAAATGAGATAAACAATATGAGCACATGCATGATCAGATTGTAAAATATTGCCCATGTCTAAACCATTTTTTACCTGTAATAATATTAGTTCTTTCAAATCAGAAAATAGAGGATTCATTTTTGCAATGTGATACACAGTGCAAAATACGCAGTAGGTAGTTTTATGCAGGTCTACATTTTTGAACATCTCTAAAATATCTAAAATATCTATCTAAAAAATTTATAACATCTCTAAACATACCATATTTTTCAGACTGAGAAATATTTATACTAGTTTTTTTGTGTGCCACTGATAGCTTATGACTTAGAAGTTTTTTCCTCATTGATTGTTGCTTTTTTGTTTCACTCTGACATTACCAATTTTGAACACCCAATTTTAATGTTTGAGTTTTTTTAGCACCTAAATTATTTGCTGATTTACAAACAGAACAACCAGGCATGTTAATCAAACTGTCCACCATTCAAATGTCTTTAATTTTTCCTATCTCTGTACATCAGAAAAGTAATCTGACATCATATTAAAGATAGGATAGGCAAGGTTGACAGAGTTTCCAATACTTGGAAACTCTGTCGTTTCTTTATTTCATTTTCCAAATTTAATAAGTTTTTTTTATTTCATTTTCCAAATTGCTTTTAGTGCTTAACTTTTTTTTCCTTCTGTTTGCCATTATGTATATTCATAAACGTATGCTAACCATTTATCCATAAACGCTTGCTAGCCATTTATTCATATTTATTCAATGTCGAATTAAATAATAGTGTACTATATTTCATTTTACAAAAAAAAATTAATGATACCTTAATGAAATAAAAGTCAAAGATGGTCTTTTTTTGTTGCTATGAGTAACTTTTGTTTTAAATACAAAAAAAAGATGCAATGTTTTATAATTATGGATTTTGTTTTTGAACTTTCTACCATAAATTTTTAAGTAAGAAATTAATAACAGCTGAAACATTAGTTCATTTAAATTCGCTCATTGCTGTTTACTAAATATTTTTACAAGTTTATTTATAGGGAAAAAAAGCAGTTCAGATTTCCTTTAATTTATTATGTACCCGGTTGGCATCCCACCTCAAAATACAAATTAAAAAAAGTAATAGGATGATTTTCAAATTTTAAAAAGGTAACAGGATGGTATCCTGCCTCATTTCAAGCATTGTGCATATATATATATATATATATATATATATATTTTTAAATATATATATATATATATATTTTTTTTTAAATATATATATATATACATATATATATATATATATATATATATATATATATATATATATATATATATATATATATATATATATATATATATATATATATATATATATATATATATATATATATATGTATATATATATATATTTATATATAAATATATATATAATATATATATATATATATATTTATATATTTACATATATATATATATAAACCAATTAGTTCAATATAAAGTTTATTTAAATATTTTGTTTTTATGCATTAAATAGATGATAATTAAAATTACAAAATGTATTTAAGGCAAGCAGCAAAAGGACGTACTATTATATTTTCCATCCATCAGCCACGATACAGCATCTTTAAATTGTTTGATAATCTTACATTGTTGGTTAAGGGCCAGACTGTTTATAATGGAGATGCTAAGTTGTCCATGTCATATTTTGAATCTCTAGGTATTTAAGTTTTTGTTATTTAAATTATGTTAAATTTTATGGCAAAGACTTGTCATATTTTCAATTTGGTTGTATCAAATTTAAATCTTTTAAAGGCTTTTCTGCACTTATTTTTAGGTTACATGTGTGAAACATTTAATAACCCAGCTGACTTTTATATGGATGTACTCTCAGATGAAAAGATGTCAGGTTTAATTTTATACTTTTCAATTTTGAAAGTTTTATTATATAAGTGTATGTATGTATGTATGTATGTATGTATGTATGTATGTATGTATGTATGTATGTATGTATGTATGTATGTATGTATGTATGTATGTATGTATGTATGTATGTATGTATGTATGTATGTATGTATGTGTGTATGTATGTATGTATTTATATATATATATATATATATATATATATATATATATATATATATATATATATATATATATATATATTTATAATTTTTAACTATTTTTTTCTACTATTCCAGGTCTTTTGTATAGTGTTTTGTAAAGCTCTTGTCTTGTCTAAAAAATAAGACAGGAGCTTTGTCTTGCTAGGCAAAGCGTTTAGGGGTAAGCAGAATATTCCTGTTGCTTTGTACCTTTTCTTTGTCTGATAGGCATCTATGTAAATCTAAGGTGTACACACTATTTTCTGCCAAATATAATGAATCTCAGTCTTCTTTTTTTTACTCATAGCTTCTTTAGTAGTGCTTCTTCTTATATCTTTTAATGAGGCTACAGCTCTTAAACCCAGTTAAATGGTTTTGAGGCTACTCTGAGGCTTGTTGAAAAGTTTACTAAATTCTTTCTCTGTGATTTCTCTCAAAGAGACTAACTTGAACAGCAGCTAAAAACAGAGTGGTAACATTGTCAATTTGGGCAATGGTAAATCGTTCCATAGTTGGATTGATACAAAGTTGTTTCTCATCAATGATCTTTCTGATAATTAGTGATAATTTTACCTCTAAAATGACTTGATTTTTTACTCTGGCCTATCGCCACTTGTTCCATTAAACAACACTCATCCTGGTGTGACTTATCATTTAGCTAAGTTGCATTTTTTTTAGTAAAACTGTTCTTTTGCTAATAAAACTTTTACTTATCTAATTTTTTTCAAGGAACATCAATGCTTTGGAATTTTCTTTTGTCATCATGTTTTTTAACTTTTACAATTTACATTTGTTTAAATCTTCTGTCAACCACTTTCTTGTTCTTTAACTTTAACAGCTTTGTTAGGATTGTGAAAAGAAAAAAAAATCTCAATTTAAATTCAGTTGTCACATATTTGGCCTAAGTATATACTTATATATCAGTTCATCTATTTATTGAGAAATCAGGTTTGAATTCTCTGAATATTTTTGTTTAAAACCTTTAACTAATCCTCTTTTTGTTTGAATCTTTCAAATATTCTTTTATGTACTTTCATTTAGCACAACCTTGCTCAATCATCTTGCTTTTTGTTTAATAATTTTACTTCTTTTTTTTTGAGGTTTTACTTCTTCTGATGGTTTGGTCAGGTTGGTCAAATCTTTTTATACATCTACTAATATTTTATTTACTGGTTATTTTGATACACTTAAGTGCTCTATTTTTTCTAGTTTTTTAGTTTTTCTCAATTACTTATCAAGTTAGCTTTGTTTTCCAGTCAAACCTCTTAGCTTGATACTAGATTTGTTTCTAACCCTAGTTGTCTCAGTTTGTATTTGTTTGTTTTTTTCTGCAGTTCAGACCATGCTATGATTTTTCTTAAATTATATATATGTAATTATATATATGTAATTGGTTGTTATTATTATATATTTTATATTCAATAAACTTTAATATTAAATATTTTTTGATTTCCTCACAAGTTGAAGATGGTTCAAATACAGAGGAACCAGTTAAAAAAGTGTCGAATGAATCATTAGTAAAAATGTATAAAAATTCGGACATGCATGTGAAAACAATGAGTGAAATAAAATCTGTTTATGATAGTTCAAAATATATTGATGAAGTTGAAGTTCGCAATAAAAATCAGTACCCATCCTCATTTTTTAGACAAGTAAGTGCTTTCTTATGACATTGAATATTTTTAATAATTTTTTAAATAAATTTAGTTATTAAAAAGTTAAATACTTCTTAGATTCGATTTCTCTCAGTGAGATCAATGAAAAATATGGTTCGTGATCCAAGAGGTCTAATATCTCAGGTAAAACATTTTATTGAATGAAATTAAATAATTGTATAATTGAGTAGGTATGGGTGGGATGAGTGATATTTGCCTTAATATATGATTCAAATCATTCTAAATTTTCATAACCCAAGATAATTCAAGTGTCGCAATTTTTATTATAATAACTAATTGCTATACAGATGTTATTGTGTGTTATCAATTTAAAAAATCAAAACCAAAATGTGTGTTATCAAATTAAATTAAATTGTGTTTAAAAATTTATGACATGATAAAAATTTTATAAATTGTGTTTAAAAATTAAATTAAATTGTGGATTAAAAATCAAAATTAAGTTGTGTGTTATCAAATTAAAAAATTAAAATTAAAAAATATGTTATTTTGTGCATCAAATAAAAAAATCTTTACTTTAAAAATCATTTTAGTAATATTCCTAATAATTCTAGACACCTAACGGTTACAAAACATAGACATCTACAAAATTAGGTTATAAATATGTGCAATGTAATGATCTAAAAGTTTTTTAGCGTATATATTATTATTAATTTATAGTTTTATTCCACTAGCTTAGGGAGGGTAGACTATTTTTTATTAGATAGTTGTAAACTGTGGCTCTTTCCCGCCCTATTTTACGTTTTTTTTTACTTTATTGTAAACATATTCAACTTTAAGAATAAAAGTGACTTCTACCCTTTTTATGTACCAAATAAACATTGATGTAAATCTTGGATGTAAACATTGTTTACTGCAAAAATAATGAACCTGGGCCTTCTTGACTATACTCATGGCCTTGTGTTTTTTTGGTGAGATTATTGACAGAGTTTGGTAAGACTTTTTATGAGCTGGCCTTAAAACCATTAAACTGAGTTTTGGTGCTCTAGTCTCATTAAAAGATATTAGAAGAGGCACTACTAAAGAAGCATAAGTAAAAATTCATAATTATCCACAAGAAGACCCAGTTTCATTATCTTTAGCAAAAAAATGACTTATAGTCCTTAATTTAATGACTTCCTGTCCATATATCAATGACTTCCAGTTCATATATCAATGACTTCCAGTTCATATAACAATGGTCTTATCTAATGGAAAGATTGAAAAAGCTGAAAAAGAGTGTTGCAAATAAATACGATTTGAAGTCAGAGAAAGAAAGAAGATTAAAAAAAGAAATTTAATCATAAAAAAGATTATAAAAAGTACAACTTAAAAACAAAATGTATGGGAGCAACAAACAAGAAAGAAACAAAATTTAGTCCTATATGTGAACAAAATGGGGTCATACTCCTTGTGGTAGATCTGGTGTTAGTTAAATAAAAAATGGTCCAAGGAAGGCTAAAGAATAAATTATGTATTATGTATCTTGTTGACAATGGTTTCAAAAGAGGTACAAAACTATTGTGGTACACCACAGTTGTGGTGCAACACAGTTGTGGTACAACACAGTTGTGGTACAACACTGTTGTGGTACAACACTGTTGTGGTACAACACAGTTGTGGTACAACACTGTTAGGGTCAACACTGTTGTGGTACAGCACTGTTGTGGTACAATACTATTGCGGTACGACACTGTTGAACAACACTGTTGTGGTACTAAACTGTTGAACAACACTGTTGTGGTACAACACTGTTCTGATACAATACTGTTGAACACCACTGTTCTGGTAACAACACTGTGGATTGCCATGTTATTGTATTATACTAGTTGTTATTTGTTATTTGTTTTATTTACAAACTGAAACTATTTTTTTAAATATATTATGGCTATGTAGTTTAATAGAGAAAATTCACAATCTATTTATTAAAAACTTTTTTTCTTAAAATTTTGCTGTCAATTGTCATAAAAGTTCATGTTTAAAAATGTTGATTTTTTGTATATAAAATTTAAGTTATTCATTTTTCTTTAAAACCGTTATTTTTTCTAAAATCTCTATATGATCCAGTTGATATACATATGAGAAAAATCATTTTTTAACTAACATATGTGAGCCAGCATAAAATTAAGGTTCACATGAACCTCAAAATTAAGGTAAGGTGACCTCAAAATTTAAATAAAATCAATGACTTATTAATTACTTTCAAACTCAAGTTTTGTCTGTTTTTATTGATGAACCTTTAAAACTGAAAAGTACCAAAAAGTTATAATCCTAAAGTTCAAATTATTACCAACTGCTTGCAATATGGACACACTAGAATTTTTATTTTTCTTATAATTTAATTTAAATAATTGTTTTATTAACATAAATTTAATTTATGAAGTTTATTTATGAATTTTTATAAAATTTGTTTTATGAAGTTTACATTTAGCGTTAAGAAAATATTGACAAAACTTAATAGGGTGTCTTTATTAATTTTACTTACAAGTAATATACAGCAAAAAACTAGCAATCTTTATTTTCGAATTTGTTAATTTTACATTGGGAAAGTTGAATGATTCCTGAGAATGATCTACATGATAAGGATCATGTAGATCATTCTCAAGGATTATATAAGGATCTAAAAAAAGAGTAATATGTTTTACAACATCACAAGTAAACCAAAAAAAGAGTAATTAGTTTTAGTTAAATTCAGAGCAATTTTAAGTCAGCAAAATGACTTAGCTGTGTTGTGGAGGAGTTCAAATTGTTTTGATGAAAAACCTTTTATATTAATCAGAAAAAAATATTTTTTTATTGCCAGTTACTCTTAAATGCATTAAAAAAATACTCTAGTATTTGCATTAGTAACACTCTAAGGTATTACTAATGCATTTACTAATGCATAATCAATCAATGGAAGAGTAAAAGGACAACATGGTATTGTTGTCCTTTTACTCTTCTATTGATTGATTATGCATTGTAAATGCATTAGTAATACCTTCTGCAACTTGTTTCTCTACAAAGCAGCCTTTTTGGTGTTTCAATAAAATAGTTATGAGGGAGTTACAACAAATAAAAAAAATGAATAACAACAAATAAAAAAATTGAATGACATCTTTTTTTTTTTTGTAGTGGTCTTCTTCCTTTAAGGAGGTGATTGTAATAAAAAAATATTGTTTCAAGTCTCAGCTCAACATTTCATAATATAGAATATTATAATATAGACACATTTAATAAAATAGAATAAAAACAATTTATTTTTTATGTTTTTTTTTTTTTTTTTACAGTTTCTTTTTTTTATAATTGTTTCAAGTAAAGTTTAATAATAATTTTATTATAGCTTTTTGTAGGTGTTGTTAATGCAGCAATTACTGGAGCTATTTATTGGCGCCTTAAAAATGATTCTGCAGGGATTCAAAATAGGTATGATTATATAAATATATATATGCAGTGATTATATAAATGCAGTGATTTAACATTGGTATTGTTATTTTGATTTTAAAATATTTTGTAAAATTTAATTAAGCTTATAATCAGAAACCATTTTACTTGAAGTGTTTATAGAATAGTTTCTCTACAAAACTTTTCCACGTGTAACCAATCCAATTGTTTTCAATCAGTTGTTTCTGCTTGTAGTTATTTATTGAATTTGCATTTGATTTTTTTTTTATTTACATATACTTCTTAGTAATACAAGTAAAGTAAGCTTGTTTACAAATTTAAATTAGGTTGTTTATAACAACAAAGTTTACTTTTCAAATATTTGGAAACTTTGATATAGATAAATGGATAACAACAATATTTTTCTATTAGGCTCTGATATATTAGAGCCTAATAGAAAAATATTGTTGCTATGATGTCAAAGTTGAATCATTCATATCAGGAATGAAAAGAAAAATCTCAGTTTGGTATTAGTAAAAAAAAACTTCTGATTTGATTCAGACTCTCAGAATCTATTGCAATTTTTTTTATTTTTAGAAAACTTTTGAAAGTTTGCAACGTCATCTTCTAGAAAAGTATAAGTACCAATCAAGCTGTAAAGTTCAAATTTTAGTATTTCATCTTGTACCTTTTTTTTAACATAGTCAGTTTTGGGCTTTGTGCAGGGCTTTTCAACAGTGGTCTAAAGATTGGCCCCAGGCTCCAGCTTCATTAAAACTTTTTTCTCCAACTCCAGCTAGAGCTCCAGAGCAGCTCTGGAGCGGCTCTGGAGCGGCTCTGGAGCGGCTCTGGGGCGGCTCTGGAGCGGCTCTGGATAAAATAAATCAAAAAAATTTTTTTTTGTTGTTTTATTATATTCATATAAATGCTATAAACATTTTATTAATCAAAATCTTGAATCATCTTTAAAAATAAAATATCAGATTTGAATGGGAAATCCAGTTTGCTTAATATAAATGCAGATCGTTCAATATAAAGTGCAGAAAATATACTTTTAAAATAACTGTATTGTTGTTTTGAAATAAAATTTGCTTGGATCATAAATGGAAAGAACTTTCAAGTTCTTAAAAAGGAAGATAAAATTGTATTTGAATCATGGAATAGTCTTCTCGAGTGTTACATCCAACTTAAGCTGTTGGCATTTTCAGATCTACATATCATTGTAAGCAGATATTTAGAACTTCATTAAAAGAAATTTGAGATGCTTTTTTAATGATGTCCGCTTTTGTCTTAAATTGAATTCACTTACAAATATCACACTAATTGTATTATTCATTTTTAAGTTGTTCGCTTTAATTATTATTTGTTTATTTACTTTACAATAAGTAAGAACAAATATATGACATTTAAATATAATTGAATTTCATAAAATGATAACTTGATGGTAAGGTACTACATTTTTTTACATTAGATTTCTTGCAGCTTGTATTAGATTTTTCTAAATTATTTACAGAAAATTGTCTCTCCACTTAAAATATGTTGCTAACCCCCTGGTCTAGAGGGAAATTTTCTAATGACTGTTACTTCCCTGCCCCCCTCTCCATATAGTATGAGTTAAATCTAATTTTATAACAAAAATATCTTTAAAAGTTAGTTTTGATGTTTAAAAGTTAGTTTTACAACACTTTACTAAACCCAATAGTTAAAATTTAACAAAAAAAAATAAACTAGTAAACCAAATTTACTCTGGCAATCCTGATTACCCTGGTGATCTCTAGTGGACAAAAATATGCCATTAAAACTTTTTTGTGTTCCAAAAAAACAATTTTTTGCATATGATTCTTTTAACACTTAAGTTTTGATTTCAAAACTTTTTCAATCAAAAGTATTAAACATTGACAACCAACACTATTGTCTGTGGTACATATTCTAGATATCAATAAATAATAATACTAAGCAACTGCTTGACACTATTATCTTTACAATTAATGGTTGTTCATTCAAAGTATAATTTTTCATTCTTTTTTTTATTTTGAGAGAAATAAAACAAATACAAACAATTGAAATTCAAACAGTTTTAATAAATACAGTGACAAATTTAGCAAGTAAAAAGTAAGTTACTAAAAGCAGTTAGAAATTTAATCAATACATGTTTCTTCTTATGAAAAAACCTTTTTATTTATTACTGAATAAATAAGTCCAACTAAATCATCCAAATATAAATTATTTATTAAAATATATTAGAAGATATTATTGCATTAACTATTAAAAGTTGGTCAACAAGAATTTAGAAAATTAATTATTAATCAACCACTTAGTAATCCATTTTCTATTTTTTTTAAAACTAGTCTCTGAAATATGATTACATTCTTTTCCCATGTTAATTCTTTATCACATAAATCTTTTATGTAATAATAATAATCCTAACAAGTAATTATTTTTATGTAATGAAATTTAAAAGTTTGTTTATTTTTTTTAACAGGGAAGGACTTTTTTATTTTATACTGATGAACCAAGTATTTTCTAACTTGAGTGCTATTTCAATTTTTTACAATGAAAGACCCATTTTTCGGTGAGTTTTAATTTGTGGTGAGTTTTTTTGTTTATAACTTAGTTTATCTGTTAATTGAATCCACACATAACTTGTCTAATGCATTTAAAAGTCAACTAATAGTAACAGCAAAAGAAGACATTTAACTTCTTCTTTTAATAGCAAATACTTATAAGATGGCTGTATGATGAATAAAATTTGAAAAATTGAAAATGAGAAACTATTTAATTCATTTGTTGTTAATCAGTGGTCTAACTAAAAAATGGAATAGTTGTTTTCCAAAACTATTTTACTTCTTACATTTAAATCAAGTTTGAGAAAAAAAAAATGTGTTTATTCAACACACTAATAAGATAAAATGTAAAAAATAAAAATCTAAAAAATTAAATTTTTTCAATTTTACTATTAAAAAACCAAAAAATTTTTATTAAGAAATATATATTTTATGAACATGTTGTCTTTTATAAGAACAATCCAAAAATCAACTTAAACTTCACTATGAAGAATGACAATCAAAACTTTCTTCTAAAAACAACAACAAAAGAATGAGACCATTAGTGTCATTTAATATGGTGTGGAATTATCAGATTCAATTAGCTCAGTGTAGAGCACAAGAATCTTATGAATAAGCAAAAAAAGCTTCACATATCTTAACCCTAAAATGGTCTAGCACCTGAACTAGAACATTTAAGTTATGCTGTGAAATTGAGAAAGTTGGGTCTCACAACACTTAAAACAAGTCATATAATCATTAATAGTAACTTGAGGTGATTTCATTAAATAAGCAACTGAAATTGATTAGATACTGAAGTATAATGAGCTTTATAAAGCTCCTTTCCAAAGTGTAAAAAGGCCATTTACTAAAATTTGATAGGGAGATTGCTAAAACAATTCTGAGAAAAAAACTTTTACAAACAATGTTATATCTTATTGGAATGCATTACCAGAAAAAGTTGTATCTACAAAGATAGTAAAATCTTTCAAAACGAAACTATAAAAAAAGTTGCTAATGGTTGTTAAAGTCTCCATGGCAATATTTTCTATAGCAATTTGTAATAACAATTAATACTATTTTTCACAAGCATTTTGTGAAAGCTAAATAAATAGATGACTGATCTTAATTTTTTTTTTGAAAACTAAAAAAAATTGTGAGCACAAATATCATGTGATACCTGAAAAAAAAAAAATGACAACAAAAAATCTTGAAATTTAACTGAAATTTTGAGAAATTCAAAATATTGCTAATCAAGACTTAAAACTCTCAGAAGTGTGTTCTGCAAAATAGATACAATTAAAGTACATTAATACCTATAGGCTTTCAAGATTTGAGAAATTATCAACAATTAAGACAAGAATTTCACATTAAAATAGATTTTTTTAAAAATTTAATTCACCTCCCCAAAGCTGAGAAAGCCACTTTAGACTAGGGATGTACCGAAGCTAAAATTTTGTTGAAGCTGAAGCTTCGGCCAAAGTCACTCTGCCGAAGCCGAAGCTTTTGCACTTACCTAGATAAATTTGCTATCTTGCAGATCTAGCTATCTAGTGATAAATTATTTGCTGAAAAACAATTTATAACATTTTACTACAGATATTATATGTAATGGATATTGTATAATATATGTACTGCAATTAAAAGTGTTTTAGCGTACAAAGTATTTTACTATAACAAATCATCAAAGTTTTTTTTTAATTACGCTATGTAATAGGATTTTAAGATGTAGCAATGCCTTGCTTGAACAAATTTAATGCTACTTGAAAATAAAGATGACTAGCTAACAAGTTATTACTAATTACAAATTAGAAGTTGAATTAGGTTGTGAATTATAAAACTAATTTGGCTTCTCGTCAACTTAATCAAGTCTAAACTTTTAAGTTATATTATAAACAATATTTAGTTTACATTAGTTTGTACTTTGGATTATAATAAAATTGCTATTTGAAAAATTACAATAATAAACGAGGGAAGTTGTTTTTATTATACTTATTAGTTTATTATGTTTAAATTAATTATCCATTAGAAATCAGGCAAAATATAGTTTAGAAACGTATTCTGTTTTCTATGCTCAGGCAACAGCCTGGTTCTTTTGGCTTAAAATATGTTTCCTGTTGTGCTGAACAGAGGTTCACTCCTAATGGATAAGAAGCCCAGCTTACACAAAACGTTCAAGAACATTCGACGAACGTTCAAGCACGTTCTATGAACGTTCTTGAATGTTCATAGAACATTCTTAAATGTTTATAGAACGTTCTTGAAGGTTTATAGAACCTTTCTTGAACCATTGCTATTTTCAGACAAACATTATCTTTGTATTAATGAAATCCACTTTTAAAATCAGTTTTAAGTTCATTAACAACAGTTTTGATTCCAGTTGATTTGTCCCTAGCATAGCCAAGAAACAGTGTGATCTCTGATTTGTCTGCTCTTACCTTTTGTAGCGCTTTCAAAATGTTTTAGTGTTCATAAAATTATTGCAGCATCCTGCTATTGATTTTTTGCATGTTATCTGCTTCTGTAATTATAAAATCATTAATTATTCATGTTTTTGAGTGGTGAATAGAAATAATTTTTCTAGCGTACGTTTCAAGCGTTAAAAAACTAAATACAAGTTACAGTGAAAATAGGTTTTAGTAAATATAACAGCGGAATAAAATTAAAAATAAAACTTAAATAAAATATAAAAAAGTACCCATTAATTTTAATAAGCAGGCATACATTTTAATTTTGATTAGCAGGCATGACGTATGCAGCCGCATACGTCAAAAAATGAGATTCATTTAAATAAACTTGCCAAATCCAGTGCTTCTGCAAAAATGGCCCTGGCTTCAGCCGAAGCCGAAGCTTCGGCGAAAGGCTTCGGCTTTGGCATGCTGAAGCCAAAGCTTCAGTACATCCCTACTATAGACAAGGAGGCTACTTAATTGCTGTTATAACGCTCTTTCAACTCTATAACTCCGAAACTTGAACCTCAATAAACAAGGTCGCTGTGCGGAGAAACAAGTTGAGTGCAGTACTACCAGGGATGTGATGGAGATTGAACTCGGAACCTCTCGCTTATAAAGCGAGCGCCACTACCGCAGATTGATATAATAAAGATATAAAACTATAATTAAGAATAAATCTATAGTATACAACATTATAGTATACAACATATAGTATACAACATTATTTTAAAAATTACTTTCGGTGTAAAAATATTCAAATCAATTCTTACAGAAAAGCTAATTTATTTTTTTACAAAAGTTTTGAACACCTTATGTAATTTACCCCCTTCCAAAGTTTTAAATAGAATTCGGAATTTTGATTTATGTTGTTATCATTACAAAATTCCAAATCAGATTCTCTCTGAATCACCGACTTCACTATCACTATATTCAGATGCATCATTTTTCCAAACAGCAGCCAAAATTTTATCAATTATCACTATATTTTTAACTAATATTTTCCTAACATTCCTAAGTGTCAACTTATCTCTATCAGATTGCTCTTTAACTTATCTCTGTCAGATTGTCCTTAAACTTTGTTTATCAAAACCAATAAGAAGCCAAACTTCAAGTTTTCTTTTAAAACATTAAACTGAGTAGTTTTTATTAGCTTTATTAGTCAAATCTTTTTTTTTTTGATTTATACTACAATGTTGTTAATGACCCTTTTTTTGCTGCTAAAGAGTTGTTGACAAAATAGTTTATTTGTTGTTTTATGTAGAGTCAACTTTTTTATTAATGCAATAATATTTTTAGAAATGAATGTTCAAATGGATATTACAGAATTTCTTCATACTTTTTATCCAAGTTGTTCTTTGATGTGCTTCCTTTACGTATTATACCCTTAATTGTATTTTCACTCATGGTTTACTTTATGACAGGTTAGTTTGATGATTACAACAAATATTTATGATTAAGTTTTTCTTTTTTAGTATTTGTTGCTTATTTACTATTATTTACTTTTTTACATTATATATTGATTGTTTTTTATTTTTTATTAAATAATTAAAATTTTATTTGTGTTAAGGTTTAAAGTTAGGAGTGGATAATTTCTTTATATTTGTGGTATCACTCTTAACGGCCAATCTCACTGGTTCTTCGATCTGTATTTTTGTTAGTAGCAGCACAAGTAACATAGCTGTTGCTAATTTACTGGTCACTCTTCCATTTGTATTTATGCAAGTATGAAATTAAAACTTTAAAAGTATTTTGAAACTTATTAGATACATTATTTATATCAATTAAATTCAAAGAATTTCAAACAATTTCAAATAGCAATTTCAAGATATGTAAAAACAAATCAGATATTTTTTTGTGGTTTATTTGTCACAATGAAATTTTATAAGAAAAATAATAGCAACATAAGTGATTTCTTTAAACTGAAAAAATAGCTATCTTGTTTTGATGTTCTGGCATTGATTATTATAATAATAATCAATGCTAAAACCTCAAACTAACTTTTTTGTTTAGTAAAAACTGTTGTGTTCCTTAGGGATTTGTATTAGGTCTTTTTCTGTTAGGTCTCCTTTTCTAAAACCTGCAGTTTACACAGTTTAAACATTTTGTTTTCTACAAAATTGTAGTAACTTTAGTTTTCAAATAAAGGTTTTTGAGGCTTTTGGCGTATGCTTACTGCTACTTTAGTCAATGAAACAAGATCTTTTAAGTCATGTAAGTTTTGAAAATGTTTCAAATTTTAAAAGTATTAAAATCAATGTGAATAACTGGGATATTAATTTAAGTTTGATAGATGGATTGTGTTCTCTTTTTAAAATACAAAATAGTTAAAATAAGGTAAAAAAAAATTTTTGAAAACTTTTCTTAAATTAAAATATTTTCTTCATTAGCATTCCCAGTATTTAATTCATTTTGTAAGTATTTATCATAATGAAAAAATGAATTAATGTTTTTTAAAGAATTATGTGTTTAAAAGAATATATTATCAACTAAAAATCAAAAAAAATTAAATTTACATACAGCTAAAGTAAAATTTAGTTCAATTACTTTATTTTCTACTTTTTACAAGTAACATGAATTGTTTGCTTTGTTTCGTAACTAATACAAACACTTTTAAATAACATTTTTAGGTGTTCAGTGGATTTCTGCTGAATTTAGCTAGCATTACTAAAGTTTTAAGGTGGTTGCAGTATCTAAGTATATTTAGGTACTCTCTTGCTGTAAGTTTTTTTTATTTTGTCATTTTTATTATATATATATATATATATATATATATATATATATATATATATATATATATATATATATATATATATATATATATATATATATATTTTCATGCTCATATCACATAAAGCATTTTTTCAAAATCTTAATAACATTAATTCCTCTACAACAATTTGGTAACTTTTGTAATATCCTTGAACTTAGGTGCTGTTATAATGTAACAGTTGTGTCATAATAATGAGGAATGTTTAAACTTTAGACTACAAGTGTCAACTCAAAAAACCTCAAAAATGACTATCATTAGGAAATGGTTCTGACAATATATTAAATATTGTTGCATGCTTATTCGAGTTAAAATTATTAATTTGAACAATTGGACATTTCTGATCAAATAAAATTATTACTTGTTTTTTATCAATAATTTAGTTATAATTTATAAAATATAATTAAAAGGTATAATTAACCTAAACTAACAAAAGAATGTTTGTTTTTTTAGTCTGGTTTTGGTTTTATCAGAATTCATTAATGTTGAAAATATTTATGACTTTTAATAGCAGTTTTTTAATTGTCTGTATACCATTTAGAGCTTAGAAATTAATGAACTTAAAGGTATGACGTTTTCAGATTGCCCAACAAAAAATCAGACTTGGTAGGTATAATTTTTGTAAAATTCTTTAATATTGATAAACAATAAACACTCTAAACAGCCAATAAACGCAGATAACTGTTTTTTTTTTTAAATTTTAAATTACTAGTCACAAGATCATTAGGTTTAATTACTAATCAAATGTTTAATTTTGTTTGGGATGGAAGAAGTTTATTTGGGTAAATAAAAATTTATTTTAGAAATCGCTTGCAGTTGTTTTTGATAGTTTGAAACAAAAACGGTCTTTGGTTTTTATATTTTGTGAGAAAAATGATGGTTTTACCAAGACCAATTAAGTTCTCCACTGAAATGATTGTTGTTGTATGATGCGTATATTTGGTAATCAATTGAGTTGAAACTGCTAAAAAGTAAAACATTTGAATCAAGCCAAATATTGCCTTAAAAACATCTCTAACCAATATTTTATGGATGTATGAATGTATATCTAAAAGCAAAATTTTTTTTGGAGTTTTTTTTTCTGGCAAAAAACATTTTATTCCAGCATTTTATGATTTAATGTATCAAATTCTAACAGTTGCATTGTCATTAATTGCTGTAGTAGATGTCTGAACAAATAGATTTTCTATGCTGTGTGATCTGTGAAATTTTAAAATCTTTTTAGGATAAACTCTTTATCAGGTTTAATAGCATAATTTCTTGATATAGAAATTGATGTGACCAGGTTCTAAATTTTTAAGACATTTACACTTTCTAATTTATTTCCCTTTCTTTTTGCTTTTTTTTCATTTTGCCAAATCACAAGAAAATCCACTCAAGAAAATCCACACAAAGCATAGTGATGACTAGATTCAGTCATAGTGATGATTAGGCAAACGCTGATTAACAAACAATATTCAAAATGAAATGTATTTGTAAAAATTTTCATTTTTTTTCTTCATCAATTTTAATTCTTTTCATTATTGCAAGAAATCAATGCAAAAAGGTGCTGTTTGACACTAGGCTTCATTATCCTCAGTTTACTAAATTTTGTATTTTATCTCAGATGTTAGGTTCTAGAGACATTTAGAAAATCTTTAACAATGCTGTTAACAAAAGCTAGTCTTACGTTCTATCTCTAATACATGGGTCATCTTATTTCCTCTCCCAAGGATAAGGCTGAACTATTTGATAAGTCTAAAAAAGTATACTTTGCCAAATAATGTGGGTTTTGACTCGTTCATTCTACAGCTGACTTGTTAACTTTTATAATCATACATGGTGGTAGCAAGGTAAAGGCTTACTTATAAATTCACTTTCTGGAGTTTTTAAAACTATTGAACTAGTTTTTAAAACCTTTCTAACAATTAAAGTTGAAGGCCAAAGCTCTTCTTCATTTTCAGAACTACTGGGGTACCACAAGTTTCCATCCTTGGTTCTGTATTGTTCCAGATCTATATTATTGAATTTTAATAATCTTCCATCTAAAGTGGCTCTATTTACTGACGATTTATTATAAACTCCTGAAATGGCTTGAAATGGCAAGTATATTTTAATCTCCCTCCCCCCCCCCCCTCAAAATAAAAAAAAAAAGAAAAAGAAAAAAAGACTATTCACTGCTAATAAATATTGTAGTTTTGCTGACTTTGTTCCTATATTATTGAATGGCAACACTCTTACTGAGTCTTCTACTTTACATCTGAAAGTATTATTTGCCATTATGAATTATTATTCGCAATTATGGCTCCTTTATTGCAAAGTTAGCATCTGCTTGGTTGCCTCTATTATTGTGCTCGCCATTTCCTTACTTTTCGTTCTCTTCACTGCCTTTACAAATCTCCTATTTGTCCCTGTATGGAATAAAATGTTGTATTTGAATTGGTTATTCTAATGATACCCTTTCTCTTTGATGTGTTCTAATTTCCAAGTTGGACCTGCTTTAATTGTCAAGCATGAGTATTTGTCTTAATGTTGTAAGGTTGCATCTCTTCTTTTAAAAAAATACAACCATGGTCATTACTCACTCTAGTCAAAAAGTCCCATAAGATATCCAATAAAAATTGTATAGAACATTTCTATAAGATATTGTAAGAGGATTTTGTACGAGATGACCCTATTAAATACATCTTACAAGATTCCGAAATCTTGTAGGAGTCCTATCCTAAAAAACACCAAATATAAAAACATCCTATAGGTTTTAACCTACAGAAACCCTAAAAAGTCCTTTTTAACCCCTGCAAGTTGAGAAAGTTGCAAAGTTTCAAAAGTCCCGTTCCAAAATCTTATAGGAATATATTTTCGTACTCTTTTAGTCCTATTGAACACCATATGCAAGAAAAACTTATAGTTTCATTGAAAGTTTTATTGGTTATCAAGTTTATTGAAATCCTGTACAATCCTGCTTTAAGTCTTTATAAAGCCAGAATTTATGATTGTTAATTTTAAAAGCCACAAATATGCTAAATTTTATTTAAATGCTACTGGCTATTGTTTCACATTGTAAAGTTATAAGTATACTTAGACCACAGCGAAACCTCATCCAATTAATTTAAATCAAACTAAAATCAGTTAAAATCAGTGGTTTCCAACCAGTGGTTCATGGACCCTAGGAGTTCATGAGAACTTTTTAGGGGGACCACAAGGTAAAAGTAAATTCTAAATATTTTTTCTGTTAATGAGTTTTAATTTAGATGTTTTTTCTGTTTAAACAAACAAGTTAAATCTTAAATTAAAAATGTAATTTATGCTAGAAAACTTTTATTACTTCTTAATGGTCCGCAATAAATTATGCCATATAATATCATAATTTTTTTATCTTTTCTTATAGTAAAAATATTTTTACTAACTGATTTGTTTAAAATAAAGTAATTAGTGTGAAATAAAGTAATTTTCAATGAAAATTTGATAATATACTACTCTTATCTTAATTGAATATTTACATTATAGATGCATTTTATATTATTTTTTAAATACTTTTGATGTCTAAAAATAAAAAGAAGACATATTCAGATGAATATATGAGATATGGTTTTACCAACATGCTTCAAAAAACCATTAGCTACCCACAGTGTGTTATTTGTTATAAAGTACTAGGAAATGACTCTATGAAACCCTCAAAACTTGCTATTCACTTGAATAAGTGTCATCCTTATCTTTGAACTAAAGGTATTGATTTTTTCCCAAAGAAAATTTAAATCACTGAAGAGATGTAAGTTGGATAAAATTGGTATTATTCACCAAAATCAACAGAATATTGTAGAAGCATCTTATAAGGTTTCAAATATAATAGCGCAGAACAAAAAAGCTCACACATTGGCTGTAAAAGTTATACTTCCATGTACAAAAGAAATCGTTAGATTATTATTTGGAGAAGAAGCTAAAAAAAAGATAGATAATATATCTTTATCAAATACAACATTCAAACGAAGGCTAACTGACATTTCATCAAATTTTAAAGAAATTGTTATAAATGAAATTGAAGAATCACTATAATTTTCTATTCAGTTGGATGAGTCCACAGATGTAAGTTTAATGGCACAATTAATTGTATTTTGTAGGTATATTCACAATAAAAAATTCAAGGAAGAATTTTTGTTCTCTTCTTTCCTTGAAACAATAAAAGCAGCTGATATTATGGAACTTTTAAAACAGTTTTTTAATGACATTCAATTACAATGGAAATACTTGTTTGGAATTACTAATGATGGAGCTCCTACCATGATGGGTTGTAGGTCTGGATTGCAGATTAGAGTAAAAGAGGTTGATCCAAATGTAGTTGGTGTACGCTGCTTTATTCATAGACAGGCTATGGCAACAAAAACTTTACCAAGTAGTTTGAAAGCTGTATTTAATCAATTAGCCAAATTGGTGAATCATATAAAATCTTCTGCTCTTAACACTTGACTTTTTACAAAATTTTGCTCTGACCTAAACACTAATTTGATACTCAACACAAAAAATTATTATTTTATACTTCAGTGCGATGGCTATCTGCTTGAAATTTTTTGGAAAGATTTTTTAAACTTAGAAATGAAGTGAAAGAATTTTTATGTCAAATGAAAAGTGAACTGGTAGAATATTTTGAATTTGACAATTTTGAAATAACAACTGCTTGTGGACATTGTGGGTCATTTTAACAAGTAAAATTTGGAATTTCAAGGCAAAAATGCATTCTGATAAACTGAAAGCATTTATTGAAAAGCTCCAAATGTATAAGACTAGAAATAATAATGGAAATTTGATCATTGAATATGCTATTTAAATTTTGAAATTTGATTTCAAAATTTAAATAGCATAATTGGAAATAACATGCTTCCCAAATTTATAAAGACAGAAATAGTTTGTCACCTAAGTAATTTATTTAATTTGGTAACTATTTTCCAGATGTGAACCTTTTGAGCAGTGAATTTATTATATTACCATTTTCTTGTGATGTAAAAAATGTGAAAGAAGAATTTATTGAGTTAAAGAATGATACCACGGCTAAGGATCACTTGAAAACAACACCATTAAATATGTTCTGGTTAAAAATGAGGAATTCATATCCATTGTGTTCTTCAATTGCACTCAAAGCCCTCATTCCTTTTTCCACTCAATTCGCAACAACAATATAACAAACAAAAAAATTTGAATATAGGTTTATAATATTTTTTGTAAAATTAGTTTAGATTATTTATAACAGCAATATTATATAACAATTTTACATACATTTTTACATTTTAACATATTAACAATATTATACTTTTTCAGTATAATGATTGGGTTAGTTTTTATATGATTCTGGTTGCAAAAAGTTTATTCAGCATCAAAAATTTATAGTGTGTGTGTACAGGCCCCTATCTGGGTCATCCCCCACAGCAGAATAATGGTTGTAGCCTCTCCGATCATCCTTACCCCCACCCCCATCACCAGTCCCCCAGAAAAAAAGTTCATTCTTCTGCATGACTTTTTTATACAGCTTAATACATATTACTACATTAAACCAAAAACTAATAAGTAAATGTGATTACAATAAATTAATCCAAAGAATAAGCAAGGGACAATCAGATATTTGTAATACAATCAGATATTTACATATATTTAAAATAATACAGTAGAGTAAACAAAACATCTCTAAGTATTATAGACATCTCTAAATATTAACATCATAGACATCTCTAAATATTACATTGTTTTCATCTAGGTTTCATTATTACATTATTAAGTAGATAAGTTTTTTTAATCTAATGGTGGAGTTTTTAATCAGCAAAATGATCAGTCACACCTTCAACGATGACGTCTTATAGAAAAACATTTTCGATTTAAATAATGGCTTCAGCGCACAACCTGGTGGGAAATCGGCTAGCGAATAGCTAGCTATAATCGTAACAATAAAGACAGTGATTTGGCCACGAGTATCGATAGCTTTTTTTAAGTTAGCGAAAAGCTATCGATGTTTGTAAAGATAAAGACAGCAATTTGGCTACGAGGACAGCTAGCTTAATAAGCTAAAGACCCACTGGCTATTGTAGCTAGCGTCATATTGTAATAAAATTGCTGTCTAAAAAATTTTGATATATAGCTATCAACCTGCTATAGATTTGTAGATATTTTGTAGCTAGCTATAAAGCTGTGATATGTAGCTAGCGACACTTTGCTACAAAATCGCAATGTTTAAAATTTAATTATTCTCATAGTTATAATAGACTTAACACTAAAAATCGAATTTTTAAAGACGTTTAAGAAATTAGGAAAAAACATAACAAGAAAAAAAAAATCGCTTGAAAATCGCTATAAAGCTAGCTAGTCGCTCGCTAATTGGTAGCTTATTTTCCACCGGGAAGTCTGTCCACTACTAGACCTAACAATTCTTCACCTTTTTTAAAGTTGAATTTTCCGAATTTTCTCTACTATAATTTTTAAAAGCAGAATAGAGAGACATCCTTAAAACAACATTGAGATTAGGGAATGTAGATTTGAGTTTTTTTTTATTGAATAACTAAGAGTAAATCCAGATGAATTGGTTTTCTGGTTTCACGAGTACCAATTTTAATCAAAGTTGAAACGAAGAAGTTGAAATTTAGAAATTCATTTGGAAAATAAAGTTTTGCATCGCTTAGGTAGATTTACAAAAGTTTTTGAGCTTCTAATTATGGAACAAAATCCATAACTTGAAGACAGACAATTTAAAACAAGAATTAGGTAGAACTTTAACTTTAACACCTTTTAGGTTAAATTAAAATTTCTCTCCAAGTGAAGTCTGACTCCTCAATAAACACTGATTTGTCTTGTTGGCGTTAGCGCTCTTTTTTGTTTCTAATCAACAGAGTACTTGTGGGTGCCCACTAATATCATGACTTCTTTTTTAAATTTTTCAAAACTTGATATAACCTGTCCGAAAATAGGCAGGAAGCTCTCTTTCTATGTTACAATTTAAATGATATATTGTTCACTTTGATTATAATTGTGCTTTAGAAGACTATCATGATGGATATCTATCATCTTATCCTGGTAATTCATTTTTGAGTCTACTAGCTTCTACTATTGTGTTCCGCTCATGCGTTTTGTCATTATTCAGCTCTACTTTTGTTATTATTCAGCTCTACTCAGGCTACATTGAAGTTTAGGTGCATAGTCCATATATACAAATATATAAACACTATTGATAACTAGGATCTTGCAAAAATCATATTAGATAAACAATGCAGCTGACAAATTTTATTTCTTCGACATGCATACAAAAAAATCCATATTTTTTTTTTTGCATTTTGTTTTTTTATTTAAAAAAGATAAATTCAAATTATAAAAATAGAATATTCTGCTTTTTTTTTAACTTTTATAATTTAATAAAAAAACTTTTTTTTAATTAATTAAAAAAAAAAGTTCTTGCTGGTTAGTCTCTCCGAAAACCCTGGCCTTGCAGCGGCTGCCTATGCTAGACATGTGTAATAACGGGCTGTGTGTGTAATGGACCTGTAGTACCAGTAGAAATCTATTTTTATACTATTTTAAATTTAAAAATGATATCATATAAAATTCTATATGACCTATAAAAATCTAATAGAATTTAATGTTTCAAATGCCATAAATTATATATTAGAATTATTGGTTAATCTATATACCTTAAAGTCCAATATGACAGTATTTTTGTCCTACAAGATATTCTAGTTTCATACAGAAATATTCTATATAATTATTATATGTAATTCTATTAAACTTATAACTAGGGCTGTTTTTAATCAGCGCCGTGCTGTAACTTTTGGGGACCCTGTGCAGAAACTAAAAAATTTTTTTTTTTCTTTCAATTCGTAGTAATTTATGGTATTGGAGAAGTTTTTCTAATGTATTTAATAGGGGGCCCAGTGCGATTGCACTTGTTGCACTTGCGATAGTACGGCGCTGTTTTTGATTCCTATAAGTGCTCTGCAAACCTATTAAATTACATATAACAAGATTGCTAATAATAAGATTGATCATAAAAGAATCCTAAAGAAATATTTTTGCGTCCTATAGGAATCCTATAAGGCATATCGACTAGGGAAAGCAAGCTGTCATCACTTGTTCCATCAACCTAAACTCAGTCTTGCATGACTCGTCATGCAGCAAAGCTTTATTTTACTGTTAGTGTTTCTACTGCTAGTGTTTCTACATTAAAAAACTTAATCTAGTTTTTTTTCTTGAAGATCATAAACTTTTCATGTTTTCTTGAATCACACTGTTTACAGTTTTCTCACAAGTCTTCTGTCAATTGCTTTTTTGCTTCACAGTATTGCTTTCTACATCACTACGTAAGAAAAAATATTATTTACAGACTTAGTGTAAGTAATTTCTCTTAGTGTAAGTAATTTTTAAGTTATGTATATAAAATTTCATGAAGTTTAGATTATATAGTGGTTACACACTGATTACTTTTCATAAAATTCAAATGATATTTATTGGAAAGACATGAATCAAAAAAATCAAATTATTTATAACTCTAACATAAGGATAAAGAGGTATTTTTATTACGTAAAACAGTTGCATATTTAGCAATTATAAGTATTTTGTTATCACTTGGTGAAAAATTTTTATTATGCTTGATTACCTTCAACAAGAGTTATTTTTGTTGATCGTCTCTGACCGATTCGATAAAATTTTTATCAGACCTATTCCTCTTTTTGCAGTATCATTGGCCATCTTATGACCGTCCATAATGGATTTTAGAGAATCTTTGCAGTATTCTGTCATGTCATGCGTCTCAAACAATTTAAAGAGTCTTGTTTAGTAACTAAATGGTTAATATATTTTTCTTCAAAATCTAGGCTTTTACACCCTAACCACTTCAGTTCATTTTTTCGCAAATTTGGTTTCAAATCATTTGAATTTGGTTCAAAATATTTAAATTGTGGTTTTTTAACTTTTCAATTTATCCAAAAAAAGCTTCATTTGTCTCTGACAGATACCAAAGGTGTCTTTAGGCAACTGTGAGAGCTCTTTTTTTGGCGTCTGCAACTAGATAAGTGTTCAAAAGTTTTCGTAAATTCAGATCATTCACGTATAAATTAAGCTAATTTAAGTACCTACAAACGTTATTGAATGAATATTTTTGAAGAATAATGAAAAAAAAAAAGTTATTTGTTTCAAAAAACGTTTTACAAAGAGTTTCTCTTATTATTTCATTTAATTGCGTTTTCTCGCAATACGTAAAAAGGCATTTTTTTCAAATTTTTTTACATCAAGTGTCTAATATACTTGTTTTTATTATAGCACTGGAGATCAACATTTAGAAAAACAAGGTTTTGATTCAACTTTTCTCTGGCTAAATCAAGTAATTTTGATTAGTGCGGCAAGCTTTTTATACTTTTTAGCATATTTACAGTTGAGGCGGATGAAAAAAACTGTTTAAACTCATAGTTATACTGAAAGTAAGAATTTGAACTTTTAACGTAATTCATTTTTTGTTGTGTTTACAGAATACTTGTTTTAAGTAGAGTTTTTATGATTATACTCGAATATGATTTTATAAAAAATTATATTTTTTTTATAGTATTTATATAAGATTTGGAAACAATAAAGTAACAAGAATCAATAACTATCGATATCTTTTTTTTTAGCTCATTTGTTTTAATCTAAGTTATTTCATAGCGAGCTTTTTTATTTTTTGCTTCATAATCTTAGTGGATCTTAAAGGATCTTTTTACGTTTAATAGACATGTATTTTGTAACCACAGTCCATTCTTTTTATTGAATCATGATTTTAAATAATTTTATAGGTGTAATTAAGATATTTGTTATAATTTATTTGGAATTTATATAATAAAACAGAATTTTTTAATTATCTAAAATAAAATTTTACCTATATATTTTTTCTATATTCTTTAAACTTTATATGAATGAAATGTTTTAACTGTTTCTATCGATCGAAATTTTCTCTTTGTTTTTGCACTTGGGCTACGAGTTTTTGACAAAAGGATAACAAATCTTAGAAGTAACTTTTTTTCATAAATTCTTCGCGTGCTTTTGTTTATTTTTTTAGTTTAAATTAGTGCTAAAATTATTTTATTCAATGCATTAGCATAATTTCAATTAGCATAATTAGCATAATGCATTAGCAATTTTAACAGACTTTCAGAGTTCTATTGCTTGTGGTGGTAGTGGGAATCTTAAGACGTTAAGAACTTTAGTTTACATTTGGATTTTTTATTATGCTCTAAATGTCATTTTAAAATGCAATTTAATAAAGCATAAACATGAAGTTACATGGGTACATAAATAGCTAAATAAATATGAAATCATTCGGGCAGTTAAGAATGGGTTTTGTTTTAACTTTTAACTGAGCCTAAATAGCGAAGGCAAGTTAAAGTTCTAATTAGTTCTTGTTTTAAATTGTCCGTCTTCGAATTATGGATTTTGTTCCATAATAAGAAGCTCAAAAATTTTGATAAATAAAGTTAAATATTGATTTTGTTAAAATTTGTAATTTTAACAAAACCAATTTTTATAAACATTTAACCCTAATATGCGTAAAAGCAAATAAAAAGTTTCGCATTTTATGAAAATAAATAGCTATTGAACAATTTTGAAATTTTTGATTTTATTCAAAGCGTAAAAAATAATAATAATCAAGTATTTAACGGTCAAACATAAATACGAAGTGTCAGTATGCTTTGGAATTGAGCTTTTAGAATCTGTTATTAAAAATAATGTGCTTCGGTATTGAACTTTTAGAATACGCTATCAAAAATGTTTTTTACTGGAATCGGTGATTTAATAAGTAGTTATAAAATATATTAGATAAACAAAATATATGTTATCAAGTTTTTATAAATTTCAAAAACCATCGATGAAATATTAATGTCAAGTTGGTTTAAGTTCTAAATATATTCCTCACCAGAGTATGACTATGATGACAAATAAAAACATTGTATCGGGTGGATACAATGTTCGGTCAACTTTAAATTGAGATTTCTCTTATTTCTTTTTTTTTATTAAATGTGTTTGCATCAGTTAAAGTTTCAACTCGAATTTAAGGGGCTTGATGGGCTGTTTGACAAGAGATCAAATTTTATAGCGGGTTGATGACATTATTTCACAGATTTTTTCTTTTCCCACCTTATTAGCAGCAAAAATCCATTTTCTTAAAAGTTCTTTTTATTTTTTTTGGTACTCCGCTTGTCTTACGCAGAACTCCTTTTAATGTCAAAAATTTTCAATCTTGCGCTCTTCAGGATGATTTGGAGGATTCGCATATTTAGAGACAATATTGATATTTTTATCTTTGCACCACTGTGACTTTTTAGAATAGTAAAAAGCAGCAAGATTTGGCCAGAAGAGAAATCAGTATTTATGTTTTTTCATAAATGGCAAATTGGAGAGATACTTTGATATAGATATTGGCAGTCAAGGTCTTCTTAGTGACAAATCAAGAGGACTGCATACCACAGCTGCAAATTTCTTATCACACAATCAACTTGGATGCTAATTTTTCTCGTCAAATATATTTAAATTGATTATCGACAGTTTCATCTTCGTTCTAATATTAAAATTGTTGACCAGAAAGTTGTGAAAAATCCGCCTTGCGGATTCTTCACAATTTTCTGGTCAACATGTCTCGTCGTCATGTCTAGTCAACATGTCTTGCCGTCTTGAATTATATACATGAAGATGGTTTAAATGCATTTCTGCGGTGCTCTGTGACAAGACCGTTAGGTCTTCTTGGGGTACCTAAATAACAAAAAAAAAAAAAAAAAGTCTATAGATTTTCGCAAAAAAAATTCACAACTTTTTTACGCACCTCAGTTTGTTTCTAAAACATTTTGCAAATCATTGATTTTTAAACGAATTTTTATCGACAAAATTCTTTAATTTTATCAATAAAATTTTGATAAAAGATAATTAAGTAATGTTTAATTAAAAAAAAAAAAAAAATAAAAAGCATTTGTGGTTTTAGAGAAATCTCAATTTAAATTAACAGGATTTTTCCGTGTCCTCCTGATATTCCTACTTTTTAATTCAATTTTTGATGCAGTTTTTTTGTTGAGCAGAGTTAAAATGTCAAGGACAATCAAAGCGGCACTCTAGTTTGTATTTGCTACAGAAAGAAACTTTTTACTACTTGTTTTTACCATTGTCATTTTGATAAAGTTTAAACAACTTTTTTTATTGATTTTGATATTGATGCGTAAAAGAAGCGTTATTATCGATACCGAATTTTTTTTAGCGTAGTTTTAACTGTTGAGTTACAGACAACTGATTTTTTTTTTTTAAAAAAAAATATGCAAATTCTTAATGCAAACGCTGCGAAACGTTTGTGAACAGGGAAAAAAAAATATTTAGTAAATAAGCCTCTAAATCCAGAGTTATAAACAACAATATTGTTATTTTTAAATTTTTTAGGTGCCCCAAAGTCATACGGTCTTATCACAGAGCACCGCGGATGAGCGTTTATTTGCAAGTTCATGCCTCCTTCCTAATTGATGTCGCAAAACGTGCCCAGAGGTGGGGTTTGAGCCAGGGATCCTTTGCTTCTGAGGCAAATGCGCTACCGCTACAACTACTCATAAGCGATAAAAAATAGTTAAGTGTTTTATAAACTGTTATCAGACAGCTGATACCTTCATAAAATTAATCCACTTTAATTTATATTTTGAAAAAAAAAAGTAAAAAACAAAAAAATAAAAAACCAGGTTAAATATAAATGATGCCTAAACGCCACATTTTTTGGATGGTATTTATTATCTAAATATATGATTTTTAATTACAATTAATTTTAACGAAACTGATTTTGCAACGACTCTGATTTTCCATACAGCTCTGAACAAAAAAAGGTTGTAAGTACTTACAAAAGTTCCGTTGTAATATACAATGTGATAAAAAAAGTTATATTAAAAAAAATACAAAAAATCAATAAGCCATGTGTCTAAATGAATACTTTTTGTAGTTAAACACTCCATTTAGCTCTTTGAACCCTCCCGCCGTCAGTAGATTTTCGGAAATATAAACGATTGCCGTTTGCCGTTGCCGTTTCCTTAAATATAAGTTAAACTTTTACTACTATCTATCTTACTATCTATCTATCAATTTATTAATTCTTATTATTTATCATCAAAATCGTTATTATCGTTATTATTATTGTTATTATTGGCTATAAAAAGTTATTCTTTTTTTGTGTGAAATTGGCTCTTAGAGTTTGTATATTTATATATAATTTCACTGTCACTCTCTTTTTCAATCTGTTAACCACTGCTAACTAGCAGAAGTCTCAGATATTACTATCAGGTTCGTTAACGAATGCTCCCCCATTAATCAAATAGGAAGCTTGTTGTGTTTTTTTACCATTTAGCAATCCATTTTTTTTTTATCTCTTACACACTTGTATTTTTAAATGACAGTAATTCAAGGACTGAAACATTGTTCAGTAAATCCTTAATTTTCCTTCCTAAAAATTATTTTTTTATAACCCTCCATTATAATAACCACGACATTATTCTTCGCAATTAAATTGTATCGTACTTTTTATTAAATAGTATTGCAACAATATATCTGTATTTGTCTGTTATCTGTAAATTATCGAATCTGTACAGTACAGCTATGGTTACCATCTCCAAATGAATACTTTTTTTTAGCAGTTTATGTAGCTTTGCCCTGAACCATTGCAGGTAGTTCAATCATACTATAACTTGATATTCTTTTAAATATTGTTCCCTTTTCTTTACTACTGGAAAAAGGCATTTAACGACATTTTCGATGCTATCTTGTTCTATAAGTGTTCTATAAGTTCTACAAGTTGAACCCCCTCCTCCCTCATACACCCCTCTATCGTTGTTCTATAAGTACTTCTTTTGTTGAAAGACTTTTCATAGAGTTTTTCGAATTTATTCCGTTAGTCTTATCGAGTGAAACTTTTGAATCGGCAGACTTTCCAGAAAAACAATTCTCAGTGTTTTCATTTGTTGTATCTTGAAAATAGCGTCGAAAGTTATTCGGAGTTATTTTTGAACAACTGAGCAGATATATACATATTTTTTCAAAACCAATACATGCATTTTCCGCTTTAAAGCCTTTATTTGCAAGAAAGTCTTTTAGTATGGCTGGAAACTGCCACTTACTTACAATTAAATAAAAAATTCTAACCAAGTAAACTTCTACAACTTGCTTTCATTACGCTATTACTGTTTTAAAAACTCCAACATCTAGTGGTTGCAAAAAAAGACTTGTGTGAGCTTATAAAATTATGTTGTTTGATTTAGATAATCTTTTTACTTTAAAATTGATGTGAAATGCATAGCCGTCTTAACATAGAATTTTTATTCTTTGAAATTTGTTTGCATGAGCTAAAAATGTTGAAAGAAACCATTTGATAAAATTTTCGCTTTCCATCCAACCTGATTTGCTTGTAGAATAATATACATCAAAGCACCACCTTGAATCCAAGCTTTCATCAAATTTCAACCTTTGTAAATGACTTGATCAGGTAGGAAATTTAAGCATCGCCACAAGTAAAATTGTAGTCATTTGTTTTTCATTTGTTTGTTAAACCCTGTTTTGGATTTTTTCTTCCTTTTCGACAAACAATGCTAACTTTACCTAGATCGAATTTTAATCCACTTTCATCAAAGTTGAACACATGAAACTGCTTTTCATTTAAACTATGCTCTCGATAAAACCGTCAACTTGGGTGAACCATTCATTGATAATTGCTGGTTGCAAAGACACTGCTCTTACAGCTTGCATGCTAGTAGCCTTTCTTTCTTTCAGATGTTTTTGGCATATTTTCTAATGAAACTATTGTACTACTTTCGAGTAGGTTTAATTTTTTTAAATAGTTTTCAACGACAGTTAAAATATCTATTTAAAATGAAGCCAATGTCACTCATAAACTGTATAAGTTCAACTATTAGCCTCTCCCTTGCTTCGCTTA